AATCATTTAAAGTGCAAAAATTTAAAGAAGTTCAGTTCCATAATTTCACCATAGCAGAAAACTACAGTGGAGCCTTTGTGAATACTTTCATTCCAGAATCTGTAACTGAAATTTCCTGTTGCCACCTGTAAATGACTTACCCAATCGGGGGCAGGGGGATTCAGTTAAAATGCATATGGTAGGAAGGTATCATCGAGATTTGTACCACAAGCTAAATTAGTAATTTAGTAGTTTTTTGTCAATGCTTTTCCATGAAGAGTTGCAAAATCAGTCCTTATACAGAGATTCCACTCAATGATACTCTACAGTCAATTTATTCACTAAAAATAGCCTCTCTTCTTCGGGAACAAAGGCAGTTACAGGTTCTCTAATTGGCTGAAGTCATCTACTTTTCCTGCATTTTCATTTCAGTACACAACGCAGAAAAGTTATATATTCCTCAAATGCCTTGACACAGTGCCTATAACAGCAAGTGCTGAAGACACTGCAGTATTATCAAAATACTAGGTGTAATTTTGTCTCCATTTTAATGTGAAAACATTTTCAAGTTTTACTTGTCCCTCCCATTTTTTGAAAAGTGACTGAAGTTTGAGATAATGAATGACAAAGGAGAAAAGACAAAATGCTTACCGTTGTTCAAGAAACCTGGTTTGGAGGTTGGTCGGTTGGTTTGTCTTTGAGATATAACAAATATTTCACTAGAAACCTTTTGTTAACTTTGTATTTCTTAAGCCAGCTAGCTCTAATACATACATCTCCTTGAAATTATATACCAATATGCTAAATATTGTTTTCACCGCAAACTCTGAGGTGTTGCTTTATGTTCATTAGGACCTGGGAATTCCACCCTTGACTTCACAACAAGTTTTGTTAGAGACACTGTTTTGGTGCATGTTAAAGGAGTTAACAAGCCCAGAAATAACAAGACGTTGTTAGAGCTAATCGAGCAAAGATGGAATTAATGTTTAGCATTACACGAAAGGCCACAAACTTGGGCATCTGAGCTACAAAATGCCCGATTTTTCGTGTTGATGCAAGGTTAACATATGCACTAGGTGGCTGAATTTCTGGATGCTGTTGCCCAAACCCTGAATATGTTCCTCACGCAGACTGGATGCAAAAGAGGAGTTGCACAGACAACTAAAACGTGATGTTACTTTGTATGCAAAGTTTGGGTACGGATACCTGACAATAACAACTTAAACTATGATTTCAGCATATCACTGTTTCACGTAAAAACAATTCTAGCGAGTTTCAATACCTAGAAAATCCTCCCCGTGGGATTTTTATTTTTCTAGGAAAAATAACCAGAAGAAATCAAACTACAAATATTCACTCAGCTGACATATATAAGATCTCTAGCCAGATTAATGGTTATACTTTTATCTCCCTATACGGTTATTAATAGATATACTTATTTCCTTGGTCTTAGGAATTCTGATAGACTAAAACAAAAAAGTAGGATTATAAAAAGAAAAGAGTCACATCATTTTGAAGGCAGTCTCATAAAAATCCATTAAGAGAAAAAGCCAGTGTAATGTCCACAGGCACATTTCCAAAGATCATTAAAACCAGCAGACACCCACTTACCATTGAATGTAGTGAGTCACAAGTCTCAACTCATTTCACTAGATGAATACCGATCGATACTATATAGTAAACAGGGATAAACAGAATTGTTTAGGCTTTAAAACTCTTAAAATACCCCTAAATATTTTTCCAGAAGACATCTGGTAAAATAACGCTCATGGTGAGCATGGACATACTGGAGAGCCCAGCGAAGGACCACAAAGATAACTGGAGCATTGACATATGAGAGGCAGAGAGAGCTGGGACTGTTCAGCCTGGAGAAGGCAAGGTTCGGGGGGATCTTACAATGTGTGTAAGTACCTGATGGAGGGGCAGGGAAGAAGATGGGAGACGGACTCTTCTCAGTGGTGCCTAGTGACAGGACAAGAGTCAAGAAAGGGCACAAACTGACATACAGGAAATTCTGTTTAAATATAAAAATGCCTTTTTACTGTGAGGATGGTCAAACACTAGAACAAGTTGCCCAGAGAGCTTGTGGAGCCTCTGTTACTTTGGAGATACTCAAAATCTGAGTGGACAGGGCCTAAGAAACCTGCTCTGACTGAGCCTGCTTGAGCAGGGGGGGTTGGACTGGGCAATCTCCAGAGGTTGCTTTCAATCTTGATGATGATGCAATTGTCAAGTCTATACAAAAAAAAAAAAAAAAAGATTGACCTCACATTAGTACTGGGAAATGATAGTTTTCAATCAAAGCAAAGTATGGAACTGAAGGAAATTTAACGTTCTACCACTTCCACAGAAAGACATTTACATCTGTCGATGCAACTGCCTTGTTCTCAATTTTTGTTTGGGTTTTCCTGTGTACCGTAAAGCTATCCCCAGAGCATATATCCAAGGATTTAGAAATTTTTGTTTCTGTTTCCACTATTATTTGAAATTTTTAAGTATGCTTCAGACATTTTAAATTCTGTTAATTTCCAAGTTTTAAGGAAGTCAAATAAAAATGGAATCTGTACGTTTACAGAGCTTTGTGTGACACATTTTAGCCTTAAGCTGTTCTAACACAACAGTTTAAAAAATGTTCTCAATTTCAGAAGAGTGGTACGCTGATCATCTTTCACTTTGTTTTGTGAATATTAAGTATAACCAATGACAACCCATAAGCAAACTGCGGCAATAAACCCAGAACTTAAAAGTAGCCAAGCTCCTTGGCACTGTGGAAGCACGAATCCTCTTATAATGACAGGAGAATGACGTTTTAAACAGCATATTCTAATCAATTTGGGAAAAAAAAAATGAAAATGCAAATTAGCAACTTCACAATAATTTTATATTGGAGAACAAATTGGGTTCACACCTGGAAAGGTCCACTGCTTTTACAGCTATTTCTCACAGTACATAAGCTTTCTTTTAATTCAGAAGGATAGTTTCAGCAGGCCCTAAGGCCCTGCAGTGCACCAAGTAAAGCACTTAATGCAAGTATTCTCATCAGTATAGTGAATGAATCACTAGTACAACTTAAAATAGAATTAAAAGCTACATCTTCCTTTGCCTGTGTAACTTCAAAATGCCTACAGTTCTTGTTTCATACACAAAGAAATACTTCTGGATTACTCTATAGTTACCTAAAGTATTGATTATATATAGACAGCACATAAAAGTATACTAACTTTGTGTAAATCAAGATTTTATGGTTTATTGCATTTGTTTACAATTTTTGTGGGGCATTTTTTGGTGTAGCTTGACCTGAAACCATTGGAGACATATCTACATAGGTTTTTTTCAAGATTCTTTTATCACACAGTGATCAATTCTCTACATTCATTTTCTGTAGCTCTCTCAATTCCAGTTTTCCAGAGTTCGTGAGTACTGACACTACTGAAAAAGTACAAGTTCAAACACACCTATATATATATAAATTTGTTTAAACCAGGCACAGAGAACTTTGGAACACACAATACTGAAAGCCACCTATGATAATCTTTGAAGGTTAGGTGTTTGCAAATTCCAGTCAAGCATTCGTCCCTATAGCTTTAACAATGAATACACAGATCTTTTAGTTCCTCAGCACTTCAAGTGAATTGTATCTTAAACACAGTGGTTCTAAAACTGTACCATATTTACCAGAATAAGACTATAGATCAGCTAATTAAGTGCCACCACGTTCTACTAAACTGTGTGCTTTACTTCACAACAGAGCTGACTGCTCAAAGGCCAGTCTCACAACAGTGAAAAAACATGCACAACTGAACTGAGAGCAGGCAACGGCAGGGCACTTAGGTACAGCATAGAGGTTCATCGTGGAGCACGACAGTAAAAAGTACCGGCCACAGCAATCGGAGAACCAGTACTTACACACATAACTTAAGGAAAACTGCATTATCAAACTGTACTTTTACATGAAGTTCAAGCACAAGCTTTTTCCAATAATCCCAATTTGCCAGAAAGCTCTGAAGAACATACCCACCCCCCAAACTTTAAAGATGTATAATTCTGCACACTCAATTCCACATTAAATCACAAAATAAGCACTTGCTTTTCAGCCACCTGTGAATTTAACAAAAACCCCTCATAATTTAAGATTAGCAAATGCATTTCCAATCTGCAGCTTCATGTAATGTTACTAATAATATGTCTTGTTAAACAAATTCTCTCAAAACATACATACAATATGTGGGTAAAGGACACAGTGCACACGTTATTTCCATTCTCTCTAACAAATACCTAGTGATTATGTGCAGTGTTTTAATGCTGATGTTAAAAATTACATGTGATTCCTGTTCTTCCAGTCCCATTTTACTTATAACAAGAATTAGAACTTCAGAAGTGCACATACAACACGGACTGTGAAGAGTACAAATTAGTGCTTGTTCCACATAGGTGCTGCTATAGGTCCCTGCGGAGCCCTTTCAACAGTCACAAATTCATCAGGGTTGTTAAAAGCTTCATAGTGGATTAATAAATCTTGAATAGCACACTCCTCGATCTGGAAGGAAAAAAGAACATGTATGTCAGTGTCAGATCTACATTTAAACCTGTAGCACAGCTATGAACTGGCTTTACTGGTCCTGAATTCATGACTTCTTCAGACCTCCTAATCAGGAAGAAGTAGTAGATGAGGTCTTCTTCAGACAATCTGAAGAAACCTCATGTTTGCAGTCCCTGCTCCTCATAGGAAACTTGAGCCACCCTGATATCTGCTGGAAAGGCAACACAGCAGGGCACAAGCACTCCAGCAGGTTTGCATTGGTGAAAACTTCCTAACACAGACGATCAAGGAGCTGATGAAGGGAGACACTCTGCTGGATCTCATACTTACAAAGAAGGACTGGTCAGGGATGAGAAGGTCAAGGGCAGCCTTGGCTGCAATGACCATGAGAAGGTGAGGCTCAGGATCCCAAGAGATGGGAACAAGACAAATAACAGGATAACAACCTGGGACTTCAGAAGAGAAAGCTATGATTTGTTCAGGGATCTGCTTGAAAAAAATCATGGGATATGGGCCTGGAAAGAAGAGGGGTCCAAGACAGCGGGTTGATTTTAAGGATCACCTCCTCCAAGCTCAAGAATGGTCCATGCCAATGAGCAGGAAGCCAAGCAAGAGTGGCAGGAGGCCTGCATGGATGAAAAAAGACCTCCTGACAAAACTCAAACAAAAAGGAAGCATACAAGATGTGGAAGCAGAGAAAGGTGACCCAGAAGGAAAACAAAGACACTGTCTGAGCACGTAGGAACAGAATGAGGAAAGTCAAAGTCCATCTGGAGTTGAATCTGGCAAGGGACATGAAGGGCAACAAGAAAGGCTTCTACAGCAGCAAAAAGACAACATAGGCCCACTGCTGAATGACAAAGGACATGGAAAACACTGGGGAACTAACAGCCGCCTTCATCTTGGTCTTTAGTGGTAAGATCAGCCTTCAGCAATCCCAGGCCCCTGAGATCAGAGCTGGCCGATACGACTGCAAGCCCACTCTCAAAAAAAAGAAGAAAAAAAAAAAAATCTTTGAAAGGTTGTGGTGATAAGGGTTGGTTCCTGAGGACTGGAAGGAAACAAATGTCTTTCCTACCTTCAAGAAGGGCAAGGAGGCTCTGGATGACTACTTACCAGTCACAGACTGGACTGGTAAGCAGACTTACCAGTCCGACAGACTGGAAAGCAGCTTAGCATAAAAGGATCTGGGGTCCTGGTGGACAAGTTGACTATTAGGCAGCAATGTGCTCGTGTGGCAAAGAAGGGTGACAGCCTCCTTGCTCTACGAGGGACAGTATTGCCAGCAGATTGAGACAGGTGATCCTTCCCCTTTACTCAGCACTGGTGAGACGCATTTGGAGTGGTGGGTCCACTTCTGGACTCGGGACTTGCCAGTACAAGACAGACATGGCCATACTGGAGACAGTCCAGTGAAGGGACACAAAAATGATTAAGAGCTTGGAGCATCTGACGTATGAGGAGACGCTGACCACACTGCAGTAGTTTAGCGTGGAGAAGAGAAGGCTTAGGGAGGTCTCATCAAAGTGTATAAATTTCTGATGGGAGAGAATAAAGACGACTGAGCCACGCTCTTCTCAGTGGTGCCCAGTGACAGGAGAAGAGGCAATGGGCACAGACTGAAATACAGAAAATTGCATTTAAACATAAAAATCTTTTTTACTGAGAGAGTGGTTAGACGCTGGAACAGGTTTCCCAGAGAGGCGATGGAGTCTCCATCCTTGCAGATATTCAAAAGCTGCCTGCACACGGCTTTGAGCAACCTGCTCTAACTGACCCGGCTCTGAGCAGGGGTTTGGATTAGACAATTTCCAGAGGTTCCTTCCAACCTCAACCATTCTCTGATGCTGTGAACACATTAATCATGGACTCAGTAGTCAATCTGACTTTAATATAGGCCAACCTTATCAAACAGCAATGTGAAGTTATTATTAAATTACATTTAATATCATTATGTAAACGATACTAAGTGTACCAATACATAATTAATCCTAAAAACTGATCTCTGAAACATCCATTGGAAACTCCTTGTGTTACTTCACAGCTGCTGTAACTTAGCACTTTACCTGGATCAAAGCCAAAGGTTTTTCTCTGCTCCTAATAAGAGCAGCTTCTTGCTGGAGCTCTTCCTCTACAATAGCTGAAAACATGACAGGTGCTATCACAGGAGAGCTAGTTGGTGATGCTGCTAACCAAGGACTGCAAAAAAACCAAATGACATTATGAGGCAACATCAAGAACGAGGTCAGCACAACACACAGAAAACAAGCTCCAGACTCTAAGCCACTGTCAAACTTACTTATGACTCTCCAGCTGCGGAGAATCCAGAACATGGTCTTCCAGACCTGGGCTACTTCTAGTGGTGCACCTGGAAAAAGGTAGGAAAGCAGAGTGAAAGTCACTTCTCCTACATCATACCGTGAATTACAAATTTACAGTAGGAAATTACAAATGTGTAGGGTTTTTCCAGAAGAAAGGCATTAGGATGCAATGTTGAATTTGTCTTTATGTGTGATACTGTGACTGGAACAGACACTAATGCTCATTTCTGACTACCAGAACTTAATGGATTTTCAGCTTGGGCATTATTTCTGGCATTTCCTAACATTTGAGCATTTGAACAAAGGCGCTTTTTTTAAAAAAAACCTCTTTTTTACATGTAAAATAGTCAACTGAGTTATGCGCTAATAGCATTGACTATAAATGTTTGCAATTAATATTAAAAGAATACGGCTTCAAGATAAAAAAGAAAAACCAAAAAAACCCTGTCCTGTATTCAAATTAAGCATTTCATGTAAAAGAACCAGTGCTACAATAGCACTAGTAAATTATTTCCTCAAGTGTAAGCCCAGAAATTATGGACTTTCAGTACATATCCTGCAACCACCTCCCACATTCATAAGAATAGCATAAAACTAGAATTAACAGAATTGAAAAAAAAAAAAAAATCCTGAAATATCAATAGAGTTCCCAACAGGAAGATATTTTATTCAGTTCAAAATGTTAACCTCTCAACAAAAATAAGTCACATTTGATATACTGTATGCCTTAAGAGACAAGTATATTTGTCAGAAAAATCCTACATCAGTAGGAAGGGAGGGACTTATTCTCATTATTTAATACCTATCTTTGGCAACTTTTGCAATTTCCAGAACTCTAAAAAAGTGTTGCAGCATATTATGAAATGCTAGAAGACTTTTTTTTAATTATTCTATGGCACTGTAAAAAACTCTAAGAGTGTTGGTATTTCAACAAATCAATCTCAATTTTCTTTAAGGCTTTGGTAATCCTCTGTAAGTGGCCACAAACTCTTGGAAAAGAGGAAAAATCTATAGAAAGCTAAGAGAATTCCAGTAACTGCTAAGTTCTCTGCCTGGAATATTTTCCCCAGAACACAATTCCAAGGACAACAAGAACCACGATCCCTACTGCTAAGCAATGAGGGCAAGATCTCAAAAAATCTAAAATGCAACATCCATCATCAAAAATGGCATTTGAATGAACCATGCCCAGCTTTCTGTCACAAAACGTATTTTTGCCCAGCAAACAGCTAACTACTCAAAGAACAGAATGAACACAAATTTAACTGCTCAGGGAAAAATATCTATCTATCTATCTATCTATATTTCTGCAGCAACAGCTGCAGGGCATAACACTGGACTTCAAAAGAGGCTTTCTACAGTGTCGCTCCTTTGAATCAAACCCAGCAGATACACCTTCTACAAGGTGATATTGCTCCTGTGTTTCAATTGGGAAAGCACAGTTTGTGTTAGTCAAGATGATCCTTCCCCTCCATTTTCAGTAATGGTGATCATATCAGACACTGAGAGGACAGCCAGTGGTACACTGTGTGGAGAGGAAACCAAAAAGGTGTGGTACTCTCCAAACTGGACATTTCTGGATAACCACTATTCCAGAGCTTTGAAAGAACTGACACATGAAACAACAGCTCCATGGCAAGAGTGGTCAAATCTGCTGTACCATTCTCCAGATTGAGTATCTATATAGCTGCAGTTCCTCTACTTTGACCTCATTAATATGCAATGCTTTTTCCATAGGTGTGAAGAATAGTTAAAAATGGAAAAAAGATAGAAAAAAATCAGTATCTTGTAAATTTTTTTCTGTTTTATCTTTGGTAAAAGAAAATCAATGGCAGGTTAAAGAATCCTATTTTATTTAAGAAAGGTAACGGGTCATGCCAGGTAAGTGTGATAAATGAATATGGGAATTCTGTAAGACACTGAGTCAAATGCCACAAAACCATTTATTTTTTTTAAACAAGTTTCTCATACCTCTCCTACCTAGCTAATTCCTTACTCACTTTACAGCTGGGTTAATCATTATTTTAGAGAATAAGTTAACTAAAAGAAATATAACTAAGCTAACGTTAGTGGACACAATAAGCAGCAAAGCTCAAACCAGTACACAATATTAAGAGATGCTATTAATTTAGCAAAGGATAAAAATGAACAGTATGACTGTGGAACAAAGCAATGGGAAAGGAAATTCAGAAGTACGAAACCAAAGACTGTGTGAAGTGAAGGCTGTAGTAGCTATAAGCTGGGAGTTTTTTAGCTTGAAGAGAAAAAGGAGAGTCCAGGGTATACTGATCATGATAACAAATCAGAAGTATGTGGCTGGGAAAAAACCAAAGTTGATTCCACTTGAAACAAATACTTTTGCCAACACATACCACACTGGACAAAGCTTATTTGGACGAGCTTTCAGTTTTGGTCTCTTAGGTTCAAGGAAGAATAATCTAAACTGTCATAGGTGCAGAGAAGAATAACTGATATTGAGTCTTCCACTGATCATCTTCTGAGAGAAGAATAACAATTATCTCTAACCTTGCAAAGGAAAAAACGAGAGAGAATGACTACACTTCATATAGACAGTATCTGGTCTGATTTCTGATACACAAGGACAGCCTCCTCCAAACACAAAACCAGATCATTTCAATGTGCCTTAAGTCAAGCAAGCATAGCAGAAGGTTGGCAGGAACAAACAGGCAACTCTATGTGGACTTCAAATTCAAAAAGGACACATATAAACAGTGGAAGCAGGGACAGTCTACACCAGAGGAAAACAGAAATATTACTTCTGTGTACAGGGACAGAGTTGTAAGAGCCAATGCTCAGCTGGAGCTGAAACAACTGAGGGATGTGCAGGACAAAAGCAAGGGCTTCTATATTAGCAAGAAGAAAAACAAACCAACCAGCCACAGAGGTTTCCTGATAACTAGAACAAGCTGAATGTTACACCCATTTTCAAGAAGGAGGATATGGGCAACTACAAACCGATCAGTCTCACCTCAATCCTGGGCAAGGCTGTGGAGCAAATCCTTCTGGAAGTAACTTCTGAGCACATGTAGGACAAGAAGATGACTGGGAACAGCCAGCATGGATTTATGACACAAGGCAAATTTTGTCTGACCAACCTGATTGCTTTCTGTGACAGCACGACAGGCTCTGCAGACAGCCAGAGAGCAGTGGATGTCATGTTCTTTGGCTTCAGTAAGGCCTTTGACATGTTCTGTTATCGTATCCTTATACGCAGTCTTAAAAATACGGACTGAGTAAACGGACTACAAGATGGGTGGAAAACAGGCTGGATTGAAGGGCTTCAGGGGTTGTGGATTAGCTGTACAAAGTCCAACTGGAAACCAAGTACTAGTGGTGGTCCTCAGGACTGATACTGGGACCAATCCTGTTTAGTGTCTTTGGTAAAACGGAGCACACTCTCAGCAAGGCCACAGATGGATGGGGAGAGGGTGGGGACGGTACAGCAGTCCACATTCTGGATGCCAGGCTGCCATTCAGAAGGCCCTCAAGAGGCTGGAGAAACGGGCAACTGAAAACTCATGAATTTCAAAGGCAAGTGCAGAGTCCTGTATTTGGAAGAGAATAGCCCCACACAGCAGTGCAGGCCAGGGGCTGACTGGCTAGAAAGCAGCTCTGCAGAGAAGGACCTGCAGAGTCCTGGCTGGCAGCAAGTCAAAGATGAATCGGCACGTGCCCTTGCAGCAAAGGCGGCCAACTGCATACTGGGCTGTACTAGGAAGAGTGTAGCCAGGCAGTCAAAAGGAAGTGATTCTTCCCCTCTATGCTGTATTTGTTAGACTACATACAGAGTATCATACCCAGTTTTGGTCTCCTCAATACAAGAAGGATGCTGTCAGGCTGGAACAAGTCCAGTGGAGGGCCACCAAGATTAGGGGCTGGAGCACATGGCAGGAAGAACTGTGTTTTGTTAATCCTAAAAGAAGGCAGCAAAGGGGAGATCTCATTGCTGCATTCAACTACCTAACTGGAGAGTAGAGAAAAGATGCAGCCAGAATCTTCTTAGAGGTGCACAGTGATGGAATAAGAGGCAACATACACAAGCTGCAAAATAGGAAATCCCACTTAAATATAAGGAAACAAAAAAAAAATCCCACTATGGGGATGATCATACACTGGAACATGTTGCCCAGAAAGACTGGGGTATCTTCATACTTGGAAGCGGTCACAAATCAACTGGACCAGACCCTGAGCAACATGATCTGGTTTGACTTATTTTGAGCAGGAGGCTGAACTAGAGAATCTAAATTATTCTATGATTTCAACAGCAGGGGACTACTTTTTAGCTGAAGTCAGATAAATCAGCTTCCAGCTTTTACTGCACTTAAGAAAGATAGTAACATAATAAAAAGCAGGAAAGAACCAGAGAAAAGGAAGGAAGGAGAAGAGGAGATGAAGGCAGTTTTTGCCTGCTGGTTTGTTTAATTAAGAGCATGTTTGTACAACTTACTAAATGCCTTTATTCTGGTGTCATCTCTCAACTTCATCTCTTTTTCCGCCTGCTTTAATAATGCTCAGCTTCCTGCACATTTGACAGTAACCAACACCTATCCAGCCCATTTGACAGCTACGCTCTTCTTCCCACTCACAATCCAAAGAACTCACAGCACTACTATAAACGAATCCAAGTAGATTGTTTCAGTACAGATAAAAAGTTCTTTCCAGAGTAAGACTTCTAAACAAACCAACCAACCAAATAACCAAAAAAACCACCACAACAGAAATTTCCAAAAACTGGCATTAATAGTTCCAGTGTCACAGCACACTCTAGTGATCAATTAAAAGATAAGTTTAAATACCTGTGTCATCTCCCTCAATTTAAATGTGGCTTTAAAATGTAGGAAGCAGTTCAGATATTTTGAAGCTGTTTGTACATATGTACATCTGTGTTTCTTGCTAGCAAGACAGTCCAGATATTAAATCAACTGCAGATATTTTAACATGCTAGATTAATTCCCCAGCTGGCATCAAAATAACTAGGAGAAATGGAACAGACGGGAAACGGGAAGCTAGCATATACAGAAAAATGGAAAAAAAGCCTCAAAAATATAGAACTTGGAAGCCTGGAAGTCTTGAAAATTAAAGACTGATGCAGAGACATAAGTGGTTCTGCATGGAAACAAACCAGCCAAGTATCATCAGTACTGAACCAACCTGATTAACTCAGTTGGCTGAACTTGCCATGACTCCTGCACAGCCACCAAGATGTCCCAGCACTCAGCTCCCCAGTGTTTCTTGAGGATTTGTTCATTTGAAGCCAGTTCAGGTCCAGTGCCTCCCTGATCTAATGACTGCTCTCAGAAAAGGAACACAAAGCCTGGTCTCCTGCAGAACCTCTTGGGTTTTGCTGTACCATTTGAGTCATGTACTACTTATTAGCTCATTATTAGCCATGCCAGAACTAGGCGATTCCCACGCGAAGCCACAAAGACTTGTTTCCACCAAGACTCTTCACTGCTCCCTGGAGTAACACAGTGAAGACAACCCAGGCTGCCACAACAAAGTTAAGTCATGTCAGGCCTATGTTTTTAGCTTGGACTATGAGCTACACATGCACAGCTGCACAGCTAACTCCCAAGGCTGAGCTGTCCCTGGAAACAATGCAGCCACATCCACACAGCCCAGCTTTTAGGCTGATTTGCCTCTGGACTGAATCCAGTTCACATCTCCACATTCATGACATGGTTCATCTACAGAAAATTTCTGGGCTGCACAAATTGGAAGGTGACAGTTTATGGAATAGTGTTTATGCAACCACCAAAAAACCCTCATCCAGAGACTTAAGAAAATGGTCAGTTTAATTACTGCACAGTTTATCCAAAGAAAAAAAGACAAAGCAGGAACAGTAGCCATGCACGTATCTTCAGTGTCCCATCAGTAAGTCTGATATCAACAAATGAGGATTACTTATGCTCTACGCACGTGCAATTTCCTTTCCTTAAAAAGGAAGAGGTAGGGGTGTGGATAATTAATCTTCACAGAAATAGCCCTTGAATGCCGCAAGCAAAAATCAGAGCCTACTGTGACAGGAACTGTACAGTCAAAGAATAAAATTACCTCAAACTAGGAACTCAACTCCTAACTTTCAGATGGATGAACTAGTCACCTAGGCTCTTTATACCTAATAGAGAGAAATAAGCATCTTCAGACACAATTCAGAACAACCTGAAATAGCTCTGGAAGTGCCGTCTTTTCCAACTGATTATAGTCAATCTAATCATCTAGACTCCCACTAGCTTAATGTATCGTTTTCAGACAGCTAACGTATTAGGCCAGCTCAAATAATCCACCTGGAGAGCATGCAGACTGGCCAGACTGTACAGACTAGACAGAGCAATGCAAAAGGAAAAGAAATGACTTTATGAAGATCACAGAGCAGGTGTGACAAAGCTAGTAATAGCATCCAGTGCAAATTCTCTTATCACCAGCCCCTACCATCTCCCATATGATGAAAAGCTTTATTATTTTGCTAGCAACAAAATTAATGATACCTGTTTTTCCTGCAGATTTGTGCTTTGTGTCCCTACATCTCCACTCACCACAATAACTTCAGCTTTATCCCTCTGCTCCTGAAGAATGCCCACCCATCACACACACTCTCCAAATCCCTCCTCCCTCTCTCCTCTAACACCATCCCACACACAATGTTCTATATTTCTACCCTCATTTTGTTCTTTATCTACCAATAGGACACATACTACTTCTGTCCTAGGAAAACAAGCTGAGCAACCAACAGGGAGGCCCAGCAGAACTTTCTTTTCCTCATGGAAGGGACAGTTTTTGGAGGGGGATGGAACAGGAGTTCATAAGGAAAACTGGGAGGTAATGGGTGTCAGGGCTCCCTGTGCACCAACAGGCTCTGCAAACTCTTCTCCCTCAGCACAGCTGTGTAAACTTGACTTAGGCTGCTACGAACAGAGTTGAGTTGTAAGGAAGAGCTGTACGAAGGCCCACAGGGACTCCCCCTCTTTACTCAGGAGCTGCATTTAAGCTCAGTCCCTCAGTCTTAGGCCTTTCTTGAGCTATGCTGCAGCTATGCCCAAGCCCAGCCTTGCTGTTCCTGACCCTGACTTGACCTGCAGGTTTGACCTCAAACCTGCCTCATCCCAACGGACTTGTCTGCGCTCACTGACTGCCGCTCACCCTGATTTCCATCACGGAGCCTGCCCTGCTCACTTCACTCCGGCACAGTGGGGCTGTGCCCTTGCCAAGGAGGCCACCGCCCGGGGGCCGGTCCTGCTGTCACCCTTGGCTCCCCTACCACTGTGGGGCAGCTGGCCTGTGCTGCTTCCAGATGGTGGGTAGGAAAGTCTGCAAAATTTTCAGGTCCTCTGTCTCGTAAATATATTTGAAATGCATAACATTTGAAGTTACTGATGACAGGGGGAAGAGATGCAGGTGGGTGGGCAGCTCAGTCATATAGACCTTCAGGAATAAGGCTGAGATTTCTTTCTTCAGCTTAGACAGTTATTTTAACCCAAAACAGAGGTTTTACTGGAGGTAGAAAGAGGATGCGTGGCTAAAACAACTTGACCAAAGAGCAACACTGTCTAGTAACTAGACATATAATTCACGTGCACCTCAGAACAAGTTATTTTTGTCCTTAGAATTGTAGTCCCCCAGTAATTATAATACACAGACATAACCAATCAATCAATATTTCAGTAAGCCCTCTTAATCCATGAAAAATTACACCTAAACAATTAAGTCAGCTTATAAGAAAACTCAGATCAGGAAATGCCAGAATTGTGTTTGAATAAACTGACTTTATCCACTCAGTGGTTACACAGAAATACTCCTAAGCAAACTCTGTTCCATGCATGCCATATTTGAATGCTAAAGAATATCTAATTTCTACAGAAGTTAGAAAATATAGGTTTATCATTTTTATACATATGTATATAAATGTACACACACACACACACGTATTTTGTTGGAGCCTGAAATGTTTGTGTCCATGTACACACACACAAACACGTGTCCATATATACAGACACAAACACTTCAAACCTCAAACAAAATATTAGCAGTGGCATTAAATTGCTTTAGTCTTCAAGCTTCCTATTCATAAGAGTATTCCGTTCATAAAATCCTATTAACAGAATCATTAAAAGAATGCTTACAGGATTTTTTTTTTTTTATTTTAAATGACAATTTTATTCTTTCTTATTTCAGCAGAATGTAAACAGGTTATTGTGGTTCTTGTATAATGGTTGATCAATTAGGAAAAGACTGCTCTCTTACCTTATGGTGTTTTGGACTGATGAATCCTCAGTTCCTTTATATCCAGCTCTTTTGATACCAATACCGGGTGAATTATTCGCACTCATACATTTTTCTTCTTCCATTACAAGATCACGGAATGACTTTGGCAAAGCAGAATGTAATGAAGATGACCTTTAAAAAAAAAACAAAAAAGAACAACTAATTTTATACTTGCACTTTCCAAGACTCCATATTGTTCCACGATTCAGATAGTAAAGAGGGCCTTTTCAGTTACTAACAATAAAAATACACTATTACTTAGTTTTTGCATCTCACCATTATGCCTGCTAGACCCCATTCACTAAAATAAGTCACTTTGGGTCAAACAGGTAAACATCAGAAAATAAATACCTATGAGAACAGAATAAGCCAGTAGTATGGAAATTTCATTAGAAGGAGGGGAAAAAAGAAAAAACCAAAACCAAAAACCAAAAACCACCCCTCCATCTATTCCCCCCCTAACCCATCCTCTTAAAAAGCAATTTTATTTTCACAGATACTTTGTTTTAGACAAGTTGTACCTTTTCTAGCAGTATTATTCGTTGAAAAGTATTCTCATAAATCACACAACGCTTTAGTACTTTTGTTCTAACACTGTTAGTTTACCACCAAGTCAAGTATAGCTGATCTTCTTTCCCCAAGATATTGAATGAGTTATTCATACCTGCTGGAGGCTCTAAAAATCACTTAATCCACAGTGAAATTCATAAAAGTGATATGTTTCATTTTCTTTTACTTGCCCAAGTATAATGCGCACGGTTACTAAACTAGAGCCTGCATATTATCTTTCAAAAATAAACCAGTATGAAAATACAGCAATTTAGAATCATAGCTATTCTGAACACTTTGTGATCCAAAAGCCTTTTTATTTACAGAATTCAAGGCAGTTACCATCAGTCTTTTCCTTACCCATCAAGACTTTGGAATTAATTCTTCATACATTTGCTACATTTAACTTTACTAAGCGTAGCAGTCCCACTCGTCAAATATACAAAATACATATTATAAGAATAGCTCTGCTCATTTTCTACTCAGAGATCAATTATAAACATTACTGAAGTAAAACAAGCTTTCTATACAATGCTAATTGTTTGTGCAGCTCCCACAAGAAGGGAAGCATTTGAAGCCAAAGACTTCCAAACAAACATGAGGGAATTAAAACACTGCAACATTGTATCTGAAATCTTACAACAAAAGCATCTGAAAGTTATATATGATGTCTGACCCCCATGCTAGACCACCCGGGCCTAAGTTTGAGAGGGGTTTTGGGTTTTTTTCGGTTTTTTTTGTTTTTTTTTTTTTTAATATTGCATGAGCAGCGCAGAAGGTGTAGAAAGCAGAATGGGAACCTCCAGATGCAGGGGCTCAGAGTGATTTTGCACATCCACTATTCCTACTACCAGCTGGCACACAAGAGTCCAGGCAAGTGTTTGACCAGAACTTCCCCAAACTTGTTATACCCAGTAGGCAAATGGTTCCCTTGGCATCTGCTGTCACAGAAGCCTCGTCTGCTACTCACAGTTTAAGCAGCCTACCCATTTTCATGAAAATTCTGTACTACAACCAGATCCACATGCAACACAGCACCAAAAAAAAAACCCCAAAACAACCCCCCAAAAAAACCCCAACCCTGCGTCATTCTCAGCTTGTGAACCTATCCAAAACAATTACCGGTGGTTTAAAATGGTTCAGCTTAAACTGGTACAAATTTTCCTAACAGTAACAACTCTAAATTTCAGCTTGTCCTGCCTGATACATTGCCATTTCTATCTAATCTGTAGCATTAGAAAAACTAATGTATACATCTTTTTTAAGAAAGTGGAATACGACTAAGTTTCTCTAAGCTGTAACTGCAAAACATCAAAGCATGACATTCCAAAACAGATGTTGATGTTTCAGTATAAGCTGGAATACTGACAAACTGACAACCCAGACATTAAAATACGCAATTGTTAATTCTCAAGAGAGACTTCAAATTTCTTTATGCCTCCACTCTTGAAAAGCCATAGGCTCTCCTGAGCTTAACAAAAACAAAACAAATAAACAACACCCCCTCCCTCGATCAAAATTGGTTTGGAGAACTAATAAAGTTAACACCTAGCTTCCTGCATGACATACTCTCAAAGTATTACTAGTGTGATTTCCAATCCCCCCCCCCGCCTTCTAATTTTGACTTTTCTTCAAAGGAGGAAACATAGGTTCAGTCCCCCCAAAACTATGAAACTGGAGGTTTCTTTTGGTGGAAAAGGTAGGACATTGTGTATGATAGACTCTGTCTTTTAGTCAACCAAAAAAGAGCCGGAAGGTCCCACACCCTTCTGGCAAGTGTGCTCACTGCACATCCAAGATGAGTATCTTATTTCATTGGAACACAAGTTCTATGCCTTTGACTACATTGCATGCGTGGAAAGCTCAATCTATTGCCAAATACACTCTAATAGTCCATTGTGAATTTACAGAATATAACTTTGCAAATGTAATATTAGAGCAGAAGAGTAACACTTACCATTCTACCTTACATACAAAAAATACTTTGAACAACTAGCAGGGGCAATCAAATAATTGATGGCTTGCCTAAAGCAGCTTAAAGTTTATTCAACAAATGCTCTCTTCCAGCAGTTAGGCATAATTTTAAATATTCATATACCTCCCACTAGTTCTTTGCTTGAACTCTTGAGCTACCAGCATTTTCCAGACCAGCAGCCAGAGGAACGCTGCAGAGGAACGTACAGAATCATGTGTGGTGACCACATGAGCGTTAGACTGGATTCCATCCTCCTGAAGTATACCCTGGCCTTTCCATTTAAGATGGTTTGTGTAACACAGTAGAGCCCAGCTACTTTCAAAAACTGTTTAATCAGAACCTTAAGAGCACAATATATTTTCTAGAGACAGTTATCTAAGTGTATTCAAAAATCAGTCCATACTTGCTTTTTAAATGCAAGGAACAGTTCATAGGCAGTTGGTAGTTTAAAATTAAATAACACCCAATAGGTGTTATGGTGTTATTATCTATCTCTGATAGATAATTATCTATCAGAGAGTAGATGAATAGCATGAATAGTCAAACTATTCAGATGTCAGATCAAGGAAGTTATGCCCTATGTTTCTATATGCCTTTTATCAGAGCTTCTCTTAATATCTTATTTCCTGTATTAAGAAGTAAATCATTTACCTAGAGGCATCTAGCTCATGTACTTAAATCAACCAGTACAAATACTTCTAAACAGTCATTTATCTTACACTGAAAAATAGGACTTCAGGAGCAAAAAAACCCCACACTTCTGAAGAAGACCAGATAACTAGATGAGCTACACAATGTCCTCCAAAACCTGCTTCAGGCTTTGTTGTATCTAGAAGTTGCGTATGAAGGGGAGAAGGGAAAGACCAAGCTAGAGAAAGACAGATACCCTATACAAACATCCTCCTGCGGAGGAGTTCTCACAGCCCCTTCCCCTGATACCCAAAGTCTGTCAGAGACAAGTACATAAAACTGCAGCTTGGAAATGGCTAGTAAAACAAAAAAGGAAATTAACTGATGATATTTAAGATGACTGGTTGAAAATACCCATGAAATGCCTACACCAGTGATCACTAACATCAGCCCAAGCCACGCCATGGCAGGTCCGGGGAAGTCCCTTTGAAGACTCCAGAGAAGACCCACTTGTGACCACTGATCACAGAAAGGCCCCTGACTTTGTTGGGTGCCTGAGGAAAAGCATTGACTTCATGAAGGCCCCAGTCCACCTCATTAGCAGCACCCCTGGCCAGCTGCAGCTGTTCTCCTGCATCAGCATGGACACCCCTCTGAGCCACCCATCGGGTAGTGCACAAAAGCATGGCTTCCCTGGTGCCGCCACGCTGAGTCACTGATGGGTAGAAAGGTGGCGGGTTTGTAATGACGCATAAATTAGTGTGTGAATGAGCCCGTGTGATATGTGTATGTAAGACTGTGTACATCATCACTGTATATGTTAGGTTACATACTGTTTATGCATAATTATAACATTAGTAGTAGGATTAAAAATAGTAGATAGAATTTTATTCTTTTTAAATGTAATAAAAGATAGCGTAACTCAGTATTTCCTGTGTTGGTCACCATCTGATTCAACTGTCAGTCTCTTCCAGCAAATTTTAAGCCTCAGAGGTATAATTGCCCTGTGACACCTCCATTAGCTAAGGCAAATAGCTAACTTGCTGCTTGACCTGCAGTATCACCTCTGTAAAGCAGGTAGCGTGTTCTTTGGAGCATTTGAGAGGATCAGTGTTAAGGATTCTGAAATTTATCCACTCATTAGTATTCAGAAGATGAATCTTGGAAACCTTGTTTCTCCTACGGTGAAGGTCCCAATGACAGTTCAGAGGTCAGGTAGAGTCTGAATCCTTAGGTGCAAAGCAACTCATTCTATTTCCTCTTTAAGACAAAATTGTGGGCTTTGCCCAATGTTATATCAGAGTAACTTTTGGGGGCTAGGGGAGTAAATGAGACCCTAAATTTTGGTATTAGGTGTACACGGTTAAAAACAAATTGAGAAGACAGATATTCAAGTCCTGCTTGTATAAATCAAAACAAAAGAACTCAACCTTTTCTTAGATTCCCTTGAAATACTGTGTGCTGGATATTTTTAAAACCAGGTCATCTTAGGCAGTTCATTTTTGTAAATAACTACTGTAGTAACATACCTCTATAGCTTGTAAGCTGGACACTAGAAATACATGGCATATAACTATTTTTTTTAGTTATAATCAACCCATGATATACAGATGCCTACAGAGAAGATTTCTTGTCCCTACTTTCACTGACCCTTGGAGGAATCCCAGCCATCACTATCAGAATCACTACTTGAAGGACACGTCATGCCACACTACCTTGAATTCACCAGACAACTGCCCATTTCACATCAGACTGACGTGATCCTTGACAGGCCCTGTAAAATACTAAAGCCCTTTAACCATAAGGCTGAACGTACTGCATGGTGTCCACTAGAGAAGCAAAGCTTGTTCTGGTGTCATAACTGGAAATAGAATACCATTTTAGAATCAATTATTATCTGATTTATAATGCATGATTTTAGGATGATTACAACATACTCTTGCAGTTTTTCCCATATGTTACTGATAAATATTTTCAACACCAGCTCTATTTTACCATTGTTATGTTCTAGGATATTACTGTTATTACTATGGTCTTAAACTAAGACAATAGCATACCAACAGACCTATGCAGAATCTCAAATAAATCTAAAGGCACTTCAAACTCAAGGTGCTGATTGTAACAGCATCCATCCAAAAAAGAAAGATGATAAGTTTCATGTAACAGATACATGAAACGGAGCAGAGAAGCAAGCAGTTCTAGATATTACACTAAACCTTTTGACACAGAACACCTTTCAGGAAGCAACTACTGCCAGGAAGCAGCCTACCTTTTCCTCAGCCAGCTAGTGATGTGATTTTTTTCTCTCCATACACTCATTAAATAGCTAACAGGCTACATGTCTGTTTTGAACTTACGGGAGCATAGCAGAAAGGCAAAGATTTCAGCAGATGCTTACTACTCTTATTTCTGAAAGGAGCAACCAATTCATATAAAGGATCAAAGGAAAGAGAGCCAAAAGACACAAGAGGGAGATGGCTCTAACTGTGGAAAATAAACCTATCCTTTGAAAGACAGACTCCTATTTTAGTTTGAAATCTATCCAATAAAAAAGGAAAACTACTACAATAGCATTTTAAACAGCTAAATTGTCTAAAAAAGACTTCATTTAAAATAGGGTGACTGTGGTGGGTATGCAGCAAGCTTTGTTCCCACTGAGGGGACACCAAACAGGTAAGCTCTAGAGAGAGGAGACTGACTCACAATTCTTCTAGGGTACCACTACAGAAACAAGCTGCAATAAAAGTCTAGACCTTCTTGAACAGGGAAAGGGGGAGAACTGCCCAACATTTACCTCGTTAAGAGCATGCACATAGGTATTTATTCTGTAGTAATGAAACACATTAAATTTACATAGCTTGCAACTTCTACAGTTATGCCTCTATGCTTTCATCCAATACCAACTGTAAATGTGAAGAAAAAAGCATGAATCGGGCTAGCACCTCATTACATTCATTGTTGTAAACCTAGTTCACTGAACAGATGATAAACCATTTTCCTATTTGATACAGTGATATTAACTTGAACATTTAAATTGTGTGTAATCAGCATTAAAAGTCATTTTAAACCCATTACGCATCCTTCCACCATAAGAATTCTTAGCAGCATCCATCACTCCCTCCAGCTCCTAGCCACCTAGATAACTTCGTTATCTATAATTTTGGTCTATCTTTGCTCTACTCCAAAGTCATTCCAGCCCTTTCCCCCACGAAGGGCTAACATTTTTCTTTATGTTTTTGACAGAGAAAAAACAGCATTCATAATGGTTTTCAATAACCTCTTCCTGACTAAGTTTCAGAGCTTGTGCTCAACCTTCTTTTTCTATACTCCACTTTGATACCATCTGCAAATACCACATCACACATAGGCAAGAACCAGATGGGATGCAGTCTTCTGACTCACCATAGCAAAATTTCAAAGAACTGTTAAACTGCAACCACTGCATTTCCCTGACCCCTTTGAATTTCTAGATTACTACCAAATGTAGATACAAATAGTTCAATGCTAGTCTTTTTAATGAACAGAACCTAGGCCATTTTTATTTAAGAAACTGTTTCTAAGAGACTATTCAAGGTAAAAACCCTCCAAAGAAAAGTAAGCAATATCTGATTTGTAACATACCATGCATTCCCTAGCTTTGCAACTTTTGTAGGTGGCGTGGTTATTAGCGTAGTAGGCTCTGCGCTGCTAGTGACTGATCCATTGTCTTTTGCTGCCAGGGCAATCATTTTCCTTTGCTTCTGAGAAAGCTTGATTCCATGAGATGCCATTCTGCTGTGAATTGATATTGCAAAGACAGAAGATGTAAAATCAGTGTTCTTTGAGATGACTCGCCCTTAATCTTGCAAATTAAACTGAGAAATACTTCTTTCCTAGACCAAAATACTTTGTCTACAGTGCCAAAAAGGGAGTATAGGTGGGCGGGAGGGGTTGGATGGCTGGGGAGCAAAAGGAGGATCAATGAATATCAAGAGTGACAGAAAGAAAAGCATCATAAAACTATTCTTCACATAGATGTCTACAAATGAAAACACGCAGAGTTTGAATCAAGTCTCCAAAAGAGATGAACTAGCACCAGATGGAGACTATTTTCTAATTTTGTGATTTTTTTAGACACTGTCAGAAGCTTTGCTCCCTTAAACCAAAAATATTCATGCATAAGAAATGTATACAACATAATATAGCCGTTTTTCCTATTTGTAATAATTTGTTTTCTAAGTTACTTGGATTCATCAGCCTTGGCTGTTTTGTTCACAGCTTCTGAATCTACCTAGCCAGCAACCCTTTACTAGGCTCCAGGACTACTGTCCTAGCTCTCCTTTACAAGAATGCTATGCTTCAAAGGTCATGAAAGTCATCTCCAGTTCTCTTCTGTTTATCTCCAGTTAAGAAACACTAGGTTTAATCCACTGCCTCCTGAAGCCTCCTGAAGACGTACATTTATCTCCCTGTGTCTTTGGGATGCTTCTCTGAGCAAGAACCACTCTTGCTTCTGTCTGAGGAAGAACTGTCAGTATCAACACATAGGTGTTGGGGGAGGTCAGAGAATGCAAGACAAAAAACAAACTTCAGGATCAATTACAGTACTGGTCCACAAGTAATTTACAAAGCGCTAGGGACAAGAATTAATTCTTTTTGGTTGGAAATAGGAAAGCTCAGCAGAGCAGGCCACTGATTTAAGATACTAGTTTACTAGCTCTTTCTTCCACATTTCAACAGTTAAGATGCTTTTGCAGTAGTTGACCAAATAAGACTATAGTAAAATAAAGGGATAAATTTTGTACGCTCACAGAAAAACACCATAATGAACTGAAGTAAACAAAGCCATTCAAAAACAAATAGGACTTCTTTTCTCCTGCTTGTTTTAAACTCTGAACTGCCTGAACCACTAAGTCAATTCATAATAGCCCGGTCTATCACACTTTTCTTTTATAGATTTTGGTTTTTTACCAACCCTGAATTTGCCTTTGGCATGGTTCCACATTTCTGCATACTTTCTTCAATTTCCATGATGGTTCTTAGATCCATAGCAGGAGGGCTGGCCGGGCTAAATGAAAAATAAAAAAAGTTACCTTACAAGGCACTCATTTTTACTTACATTCCACAGTTCCAGCCTTCACTGAAATCCTCTAAATCATACATAAGATTGGTAACCGGATGTATAATTTATGTCTGTTTCCTCAATTATGGCAAACCTCAAATAGAATGTTTCTGACAAAACTTTTATAAATATATACATATTTAAGAGCACACTATAAAAATACTTTCAAGACTCATTATACTATGAAACAAAAAGATGTGAACTATGATTACTTTAAAAAAAATTAGATACCTAAATCCAGGATACTTATTTAGTAGTCAAGTGCTCATGCTAAGTATTAGAGAGGCATTGCTCACAGCTCTTTCATGAAGATTGAATTAGATCTTTCTTTGAATAACAGGATTAAAATTACTTCACATGGCAAACATAACACTCTGCAAAGTTAGAGCTCTGTACAAACACCAGTACCATTCTCAAACTTTAGGAATCAGTTTCTGTTTCATAAATGACCTAATTTTAAACTTCCACAGAAATGAACATGAATTAAATCCAGACATTTCCAAGCTTTACATAAAACTATAAATTAAAACCTGTGTACTTAAAGGCATTTGTAAACTAAGCTGTGTTACAACTAGATTCAAGGACAAGCTTCGAAATAAAATGTAAGCAGCACTCCCTGTCTCTCCCTACATAAATCCAACTACCATAGACTAACTAGCGAACCAAACCCTGTCGTCACTGCTCCTCCACAGTAGTTCAACCAAATACACTACAGTATTAATACTTTAAACATTCTACACAACGGTGCTGCCTGCTTTTTCTTGACATCATACCAGCAATACTAGAAAAAGTGAAGAAAGAGTACAAGGGAAACCCATAAAGGCACAGTGACGTTACAACAAAGTCCTATGGTTTTATTTGTTCCCCTTCCATGCAATCCTCTAAAAAACGTTTGAAAAGAACTCTTAAGATAGCAGATGAAGGTGGAGCTTCTTCCAACCAAAGACCAAAGAATTGGTTGTGCGATATGTTACTCTCTGCATAGACTAGGCTTGCACAAATACATAGTGAGACAAAACACAGATTCCTAGTGGACCCTGCTCACCAAACGATATACTTCAGAGCTGCAACTTCTAATTTCTACAGCTGTATCACCTGTATTAACAAAGCCCATCAGCCACAAACCAACAGAGCCTGGGAAAACTGTGGGAAATTATCACTATATGATTCCCTAAATCCTTAAACTCTTCTCTATTCAACCTTTATTGACAACTGTCAGAGACAGGACACCAGGCAAGACAGAACTTCAGTCTATCACAGTACTGCTCCTTTTTCATACACAGATACTGCTACAGATAAAAAATTGATTATTATTTTTTATTATTATTTTATTGTATCAGTTAAACCTGTGGTGTTGATTTTCACAGACTGTTTAAGTCTAAAGGCATGCCTTTAAAAATGTCAAAGTACAATGGTGCTTCTAATGGCTTCAAGCATGGTCTGATTCTACAAAAAACTGCCAAGTATTTTACAAAGTGTTCACTAAGCAGGCCTTCTAAAAAAAGATATTAGAAGTCCAGACTGGTAGCACTTAAAAAAAAATTTTTTAAAAGTATCTAGCAATTGCTTTTTTCAAAGAATAATTAAAAAAAGTTACCAGTTTTATTAAACTACCAAAATCTTTAATTTACATGTCAAGTAATGTATGATCATTTTGAAGAGCAGAGAGCTTTTCAGTCTGAAGAGAATATTATTAGCATTCACTACCAAGTGTAGAACAGTGACTTTAAGTTAGGCAGGCACCACAACTATTACTCCACCTGAAACTGGTTGCTACCCAATTGGGGGAGCTTGCAGAGTTGTTTTTGGCACTGGGAATGGACTGTGGAACAGACTGTGTCAATACTGATGATCCTTTGCATGACTTCATCTCCTTGTTAGGCTGAGAGGGTTTCATACCCTGACTGCATGTTTTGTCCTTCATCTAAAAAAAGACAGAAAAATGTTGAATAAATATTCTTACATCTTTTCATTCAGAAAAAAAAAGAGTGATGCTACAAACAACTTGAATGACATGTGTAAGTGAAAAGATTTTAAAGGATACCACAAAAATAGCAATAACTTAGTGAATCCCTGATCAGTCTACTATTTGTACCTCTTTTTTTTTCCCCCCCCCTGCTTCACACTTCACCCTGAATCATTTAAGTCCAAATATGCATCTTGATAGTGGAAAATTCACTCGGAGATGTTCACTTCTAAAGCTTTAATGCTTAACACAGGCACAATTCTCTCAAACTTATTTCTCTTTGCCAGTTATGCCTCAGTTATCCTGGACCATACTTCTGTCCAACTACAGTAGTCAAAGAACAGCAGGATTTTCCTGGAGTTTTTTGGCTTCTGTTTTTGTTATTTTGGCTTCTGAACTTCAGATTTGCTTTGCATTTTAAATGAAGTAGATGGAGTCTTTACATAATTGCTCTTTCAGTTTGAAATTTTAGGAAGACTACAGCATATAAAAATTCTTACTATGGTACCATATTAATAAATTACCCTTAGAAGATTTAATAAGGAATACTAATTTTTATTTGCTTTATTGGACAAACAGTAACTACCTAAAGTTGTCTACTGCATTTTAAGGACAACAGCTTCTCAGAAACACTCCAAAATACAAACTCTGCTTTTGATGGATTAGATAAACACAAACAAATAAATTGCTAGGAACAAAGAAATCCAACCTCAGTCCTCTCTGGATGAAATCCTTTCGTGAAGTCAGGGGACTGCAAGTCTCTGGGGCTACCCACTCCTGCATAACTACCTTCAGAGTCAGATGTTAAGAGTTCTGGAAGCGATTCTACAGAGTTAGTTTTATCCAGTTTTACTGAACCTAAGAAATAAGAAAAGAGAGTAGAACTATTAAATCATGAGAGCTGGACTAAACAATGCTTGAAAAAACCCAAAAGTTATTCACTCCATATGACGAATACAAAATAACCAGAAGTTTACCTAGTCCAGTGTACTAGACTGCAATAAGCATAAACAAATTTAAGACTATCTTAAATATTTTTTCAGAATAAGAGAACTCCGAGTTTTCTTTCTCTGTCTCACAATATACAGTTTTAGGAAGTAACACTGACACTTTTCTGTTGAAAATGAAGGCTTCTACCATCTTTCCAATAAACAGTGACTAATTTATTTTTTAAATTCCAGGAAAAAAAAAAATCCACCACATTAGCAGAAATGTTCCACTTATTAAAACCACATGGGAAAGTGTTCGTTAACGTTATTTAAAGTTAAAACTACATGCTTTTACAGAATCTGAACTCTGGGCACAAGCTTAATATGACAAACATCCTTTCAAACAAAACTTAATCTTAAGAATTCACTATTCATATTCAATTATGGTGTTCACTAGAAAAGAAATAATCTTTGCAAGATTTTCTTATTAAAGTATAGAAATCGCATTGCATTGCATATTAAACTTTATGTTCTGTTTTTATACCTGAAAGGAACCTCTTTCCCACTGACCTGTAGAGGCTGGACTCTGAATAATATCTGATAGATTATATCCTCCAGAGCTGTCGGACCGTTTTCGTGGCTTCTTTTTTGCCTTAGTTTTTGCTCTTTTGAAAAGGGCTTCCCTATTAAAAACAAACAAAAAAAAAAGATGGATTAAAGCCAAAGAAATCAAGTCTCAAAACTATCAGTGTCAATGTCAAGTTTTTCAGTCAGCAACAGCGGTTATACTTCAAGCGGTAATACCTGGTCCCACCAGCTGTCACTAGCTGCTTCTTCCTGCTCTGCTTATGCACTGGCACAACTATTTAGTAAATGATTTGGGGGAAACAAAAAAAATCCAGGAGGAAGAGAAAAAATTCTTTCCAGTGTAGATCTAGTCTCCGGCCTAGTACACTGCACAAAGACTTCTGCTGAGACAGTGGAAGATACAGCAGCTGCATAGGCTGGCACTGCCACCTAGGTCAGATTAAACCTGCTACACATCGCAGCAACTGACATAAAGCAAACTCCATCCAAGTCTCCACTTTTTTCTCTCTTGACTTCTCCTAAATTAGTGAAGTTCAACAAACTCCACAGCTGGTCTCATTTTTCCCCCAACACAAATACTGCCACCAAGATAATACTACTTCTACAATAAAGCAGGTATACTGTCATGTTACCAAAATGTCACATGTTCCTATATATGATATTAGGAAGAGTGGAATCAAATAAAAGGCATCTTTCATTTTAACGAGACTACTAGAAATTCAGAATTATATGAACCACAGCTACAGTAACCCTATTTCAAAAAGTTTCTTTGACAAGCTTTTTGTGGAATAACTATATATGTACTTATTCATTCCTGCATCAATACCGTAACCTTGCAACGGTTGGGTTTTGTTTTTAATCCTTGGATTGCCCTATCCGCTAAAGGCTATCGTCTAGCCTTTAAAAACACTGAAAGGCTTGAAGTCTGATACAAAATAGCCTCTCAGTTCCCTTTATCTGCTAGTCCTTATCTGTACTAGTTCATTTAGCATAACTTTTCCTGACACAAGTGGTCAGAACAGTACACAATACCACAAGTGAGGTCTCATCTGCACCATGACATCATATTTCACTATCCATGTTTGAAGGATGTTACCAAGTCATCCTATCAAATTAACTTTTCATACTTGTGATGTCATAGCCAATTTCTCCAGTCTAAAAACTGTACCAAAAAAAGCAGTTTTAATTTTATTATTTGCTCATCAGAGAAAAGCAGCATATTAAGTTAGTCTGACAAGACTTCACAGATTGTATTGCTCTCACCTGTGTGTCTTCAGAACAAATGTTCAAAGACAAAATACCAGAAGTCCACAAAACCACCGAGGCCAGACTACCTGATCTACGGTTGTTTGGATCACATTTTCTAACACCTCTTAAACACAGGTTGCTTGTTTTGTTATTCTACAGCCAGACAGTAGCCACTTTAAATCAACAGATTAAAAACTCATGCTACAAAACTTCCTATTTCGCACGAGAATTCTGTTAATATTAAGAAATGTAGATTATCACAATTTTCCAGACAGATCTATAGTACATTAAGTCTGGTGTTTTCTCTTTTGATTTCTCCTAATTCAGTGAAGTTCAATGAACTCCACAGTTGGTCTCATAAACACACAGATACTCTCATCACATGCACAACTCCCAAACATTACTGTGAATGCTTGTTTTGCTACCTTTACTCACATGCTACTTAGAAATCAAAAAAAGTGCTCCACTGCAGTTCTGCAACATTGTAAAATACTTAAGGGGACCGAGAACAACCTTTTAAATCTTCATTTGTCCTATTTCTTAGTATTTCAATTTTGAACCCAAAGGGAGTCAGGCACCATCCAAAGGGGGATAAATACTATATACAGCTCACCTAGTTAAAAATGTGGATGAAAAATGGATACTTACTGAGAATTTTGTTCTGTATTCATTTCTTCCCTTAAAAAGACAAAGTTCTCTCCATCTTCAGGCTCAAAAGAACTTATGTCAGGTCCATCTGGATATGGAGTAATTACTCTCCTGACCATAGCCGGAATCTATAGTTGGAAAAGCTGTTACACTAAGTTTCTCTTAAGTTGTATGCTAGCAAATATATGATCTGTTGTAAAAGGACCAAAACTGACTGCCATTTAAAACACTTTTACAGAGCAAGTAATTAATTACTTAACTAGCTTATAAACTTGTTACATCTTTAAGCAAAACAGAAGGAGAATTATTTTAAGTGACAGACTCAGAATGCACGTTTCAGCTGCCTATAACTCCTGACAAAAAAACGCTTCAAGGTTTTGCAAACATTCATCTTTTACTACTTTACAGTTAAAGAATACTGGATTACAATGTGTCTTGGTTTTCCCCTTTGCATTAAAGTTCAACTTTCACATTATTTTTCTTACTGCTTTTAAGATCTATATGATCACCCTGAACTTTACACTGGAGAAGTCTGATTTGCTTTCTTCTCCTTTCTTCTAAGTAACAGATGCTCTTTTCCATAGGTTTTGCTTATGTTTTTTCATGCAACAATTGTTAATTACAGAACATTAATACGTTTAATGTGTATAATTAATTAAAGGACACAATACTGTTGCAGCAGTGGCTAGTGAAAAATGAAATATGAGTTCCATGAGAGTGATAATAGCAGCAGCTAACCTTAGCTTTGGAGTCAGATGCTCCACATTCAGCCTGTTATCTACAGCCCCTGCAGGTATGTATTTATTACTCATCTGTTCTCATTTTAAACCTAATCAGCTTACACTCAAGTTGTATGACTTACCATTTTCCTGTAATAAACAGAAAGATCTTTTACAACTTCATCACTTAAGACATCCAGAGTCCTAAAAAAATAAATACAAATTTAGCTGCGGAGGGGGGGGGGAGGGAAATCACATTAATGAAAAATTCAAATGATCGTTTTATACAAATCTCACCTACATGCATTATTACCTATTAATGATGGTCACAGAGTCAGAAGGAAGAAAATGAACACAAAATATGAACTAGTCAATGCCCCTGTAAGGCAGGATTAAACCCACAACCTTTCCAGATAACCTACCTTTACTTAAGGCCACAGCCAATGTAGACCTATATAGTTAAGTTAGCATGAACTAGTCACTACTTTACCTATTTCTGCATACTTTCAAGTCTTCCTAACATGCATCTAATACTCCAAGTCTATGCAAATTCTTCTATAAAACTCAGCCACAACATCCCTTGACATTCATGCCAAAAAATAATACTACAGCAACAAACTTTACTCAACAGAGCTGTCTTGCCCGCATGAGCAGCTCTCCTTGCACAAAGCTGTCATGACTAAATTCTCTCTCTCAGGTGTCTCAGATTAAGTCTTGCTACCCAGTAATGAAATTTTCAGATTTTCACTAAAATGCAGATACAGTCTTAAGAATGTTGCATGTCTTTTCCAGGCTTAAGATGAAACAAATCTGAATTCAGAATAATACTTAAGACAATGTTATTAGATTTCTACTCTTCTCTCCAAAATCAAAGGTTAAAATGTTTATACTTTATAAAGATATGAAGAGGAAAATTGCTAATATGAATGAACTCCTGTATCTGTGATACAAGCAGAGCAGTTGTGTGACATAGCAATGAAGTGCTGGCATTCTGAACCAGCTCAGATCTCTAAGAACTTCTACAGGTAAAACGAAGCATGACAAAAAGCTAGGAGTGGACAGAGTGGACCAATAATCGAGATGTGGTTTTTTTCTTTTGTTGGTTTTTTTGGAGGGGGTTGGGTTTTTTTAAGTCTTTGCTAGAAAAGAATTTCAATCGGTGCTGATAAGGCTTGCTCTCAGAAGATGAAATGTACTCTGGAAGCAACCTGAAGCCCTGTCCAAAAGCATCAAGAGAAGGAAGCCTTCGATTTCTTAGAACCCTAGCTGAATCATTGTGGAAAGCAAGGGTAATTAATTAATTTGTTCAGCCCTCACTGCAGACAGTTAAAGCAAAGAGACTACCAGAAGGTAGGCCTATCCTCTTTGGAAAATGCACCAGCTATAATAAACCTACTTAAAATAAATTCAATTTACATAGTAACCATCATGTTAAAAAAAAGAAAGAAAAACAAACAATAAAAAAAACACAGCAGTTTTATGCATCTTCAAAAACAATTTAAAAAAAACAAACAAGATTAGGCCTAATGTCAAAGCCCACTGAATTCAAGAGAGGTTTTCCCTCTTAATTCAGGCTCTTCATGCCAGATTGTAACATAGGGTTTTGTACTATAAAATGTACAGTATGTACAGGTATTTAACTAGATATTTACCTAGTTTCTCTCTCCCTGTTTGGCAAAAAATGAGCCTCTCTTTAAACTAGCAGCATTCAGTTGGATTTTAACATTTAACTGCTCCTATTAGTTCTTCCAACCCTTTTGCCTTTTTGGGATGTTTGAATTTTGGGAATTTTTTGAATTTTTTGGGAAGTTTGAACAGCTGGTACCTGAACACGTTTGCATTCCTCCTTACCTTGCTTCAAGCAAAGCTGCCATATTGAGTCCTATGAACTGCAAGCAGGACAGTTTTAACTGTTCAGCATTATACATTGCTGAGAACTCCAACAGCTCAGCAGCATTCTTCAAAGTAACTGCAAAGAAGAAACACAACAAACTTAATTGGATAACGTGCTGCAGTATCATGCAGCAGTTTTTAAGACTTACTGCACAGCATGATCTAGTTACTGAAACATATCATATACTTCTCCATTCCTAGAAAAAATGCTAATGCTCAAATGGCCACAAACTACAGCAAGCTCCACGTAACTTTGTAGCAGCTTGAATGCAATGGCTGCTTCACAGAAATAGAAAGGCCCTACCTACAAACGTATCAGTTTCAATATATTGAAACTCAGTAGTCCAAAACAAAGGAGAAAAATAAAGTTTAAAATAGCAAGTGTCATATACAGCGTAAACAGTTCTTAAAGCTCCAAATGTTCCTTTAGCAGGGTGAAAGAAAAACAAAGGGGGTGAAGGGTTAGGGGGCAGGGGGGAGAGAGAAAAATAGAAGTCACTAAAGAAACGCCAAGCAAAAATTGTACGCTGACTTCTTGTATGAAGCTAAGCAACAATGCTTAGTGTTTTCTAGAAGAGACAGATCTTCATAGCCATCTAGAAACAGCACTGTATCAAACAACAGAAGAACTAGCAGAACTAAATACAAGGAAAATAGAAACATAGAATTCATTTTATCGTGTTTTAAAGACAAGAAGTTTGAATTCAATGAAATAAAGGTTTTATAAAAGTTTGGTTTATTTGCTGTAGTGGTTTGGGTTTTTTTGCTTTTTTTTTTACTTTTTTTTTTGCCTTTTATTAAAGAGCGTGAGATGAAAACAACGATGCATAAGGAATGGAAGATTATGCTAACCTGGAACATCACTCAGACTAAAGAAGCAACTGTTAACAGCTATGCAATGAACAGCAAAAGGTAATCGGAGCAAAGGAATATAAACAAATAATTCTGTGCTGAAATAGGCAAGAACATTAACATCTAAAAAAAGCAATTTTTATTCTCTAACCCTTTATAATACAAGTGGAAGAACTCACGTTTTTCTGCAATGGCTACTTCACAGATTTCTTTGAGTCTGGATATAAGAAGTTGGTCTGCTACCACAAGAACATTACATATGAATTCCACATTTTGAGAATCTGGAAAACAAAGCATCACGTAAACACTGTAGGCAAGTCAAAAGCAACTATAACACATACAGCTTCAATGAGATTTTTCCAAAAGACATGAAATGGCTTTGCAAATTTTGATGGGATTTTCACAGCACAAGGAATAGCTTAGAAGAGCACAAACAGTCTTTTTTTTGAAGCAAGAGATGGAGGGAAAAGGAAAACTGCAGTTTGACAAACTAAAGAAAAGGTACAAAATGGCCTGGGGTACAGCTATCACCTCAAAATCTAAAGCAAGATTCACGAAAATTTGGATTTTTTAAATAAAACTTCAAGGCAAGCATATTAAGTATTGAACTTCTATTTTAAAAATACAAAAATTGCAGGAGTTACAGTTGAGTTGAAGATATATTAATGGCACCTTTTATCGCAAGAGCTTCATCTGTATACAGGTAATCTACAATTATCTGTAGTATGTCAGAATGGATTGGCATTTCCAGAGCTGAACAACAGGAAGCCTAAAAGGCAAAAGGATTGGAAAAAAAAAAAAAACCAAACAAAAAGAGTAAATGAAGATGACTACCTGGAATAAAATACAAAATTAAGACAGCGATTATATTTAGCAAATGACTCAGACTGAGGGTCACACTTTCAAAGTTAAACAATTATTTAAGCATTTGCACAAAATCTGTTCAAGTTCTTCAATTAAGAATTGATTGTAGCACAGCAATTAAAATCTGCCCAAACTTCTGAATAAATATCCATGAAACAGTTCAGTGTTTCATCAGTTTGAGCGTCTTCTCTAACAATCCTCCTTGATTATATTACTTTACCCACAATTGTCTAAAAGTAGAACTACAGGAATCCCCTATGCAAGTACTGAACTGCTTTCCTTTCAAGGTAAAATATCTAGTGAAATCACAAGTTCCCATTCAAGAATAAAATGCAAGTAGCCATTCCTGTTAATCCCTCAGAAAACAAGATCCTCAGCAAACCCTCCATTTGAAGAACCGTCTTAACCATTAAGGCAAAGCATTTGTATGAGCAAACATTAGCCATGTAATTGTCACCATTCAAGTTTATGCAACATCACTGCTTAACAACCTTGGTTTATTTCAGGTGGCACTGAAGCAAAGCTTTATACTAAAAGATTTCTTTTGCTTTAGAACATGCTACTGGTACTGACGTATTTCCCGTCAGAAGTTTAAAAACCTCTTACAGACATTTAAGATTTTTATACAACTTCTAGAGCACTTGATTCACAAAATATTTACTTATGAATTTAGCATGATTTAGATTTACTTATGAAATAGTAGATAACTTACGAACTACATACAGCTGATATAGAAATCAACAATACAAATGGACATTCAACACTTAAAAAAAAATAAATAAATCAATCACTTGTCTCACAGTGTTTCAGATACGTTTCCTCAGGGATAACCGGACAGGTAAAGTTCTGTTACACAGTAGAAGAGAACTGCCAGTACCTTGCCAGGTTCTTAGATTTACATATTGCCAAAAAGCTATGAAAGTTGAGAAAACTCTTGCACACTGCTTCAGCTTTCAGTCTCTGAAAAATGCTTCTCCATTTAAACCTTTCCTCTCTTTCAACAAGCATTATCAATAGTATTCGGATACTTAAACAGAAGCATTTAGTGAAATTACAATGTCCAGGAATTGACACACAGATAGCAAATAGGAACCAAGACAAACAAAAGATCTACTCCTTTTGAAGCAGCAGCCAGTGACTAAGTGGAATAGTCCTTGATAGCCTCTATTTCATTAACAGTAAAAGTCAACTAGAGATTCTACACCTTGACTCTTGATTCTGCTGCATCTCTCACTCAGTACATATGAAAAGCTATTCCATACTGCATACTATTTAAACTGTAAGATCTTTTACAGAAAGAAAATGAAAATTCATCCAAAGCAGTATCCCATAAGAACAGTCCAGCAGCTTTTATAAATCCATGAACTAGCTCAAAATAAACCTCTAAAACAAAGGTAATACTTTAATTTCATTTGATACACCTTATTATATTTATTAGTCTCATTTAATACACAATCTCAATAGTACAAATATAGAGTAACCAAAAACGTGTGTATGTGGTTTTTTTTTCTTGCAAACAGGATCCAAGAATCCAGCCTTTCCTTTTCCCCAATATTTAGGATATGCTGTTCTAGGAAAAACTGAAAAGCTGTCACTTATTTGATGCAACAAAACATACCACCACACATGTTTATTGGCAAGCTTACCTCAATCCACGAGCTGCTTAACATGCTGTGAAAATAATCTGTAAAGAAAGGCATTTCAGTTCAAGATGCAATAAAATTTCAGTTAAAAAAGACAACATGACATATTTTTTATATATATATATATATAAATATACACACACATACCAAGTCTTGCACAAAGTACACACTTATGACACGGGAATTCTTTTCCATCTAAAGATTTCAGGGTCACAGGGCAGAGGTATGAACTAGAAGATATTTCATAGGATCAGAACTGTGACTATTCAGAAGAGCTACAAGTTGTAAACTCTACAAATAAATGCTTACTTTAGCAAGTTATGATTTATCCTCTCAAATAAAACACACCTGAATATTAATAATATCATATAAAATGAACCTAAAAGTACAGGCATGATAGTTTCAAGAGAGAAATTTTTTGTCCAAAGCTGAGCTTTCAAAATTCCATCTGAAGTATTTCCTTCAAAACACAATCAATTACTGTTTCAAAACTACTATGCCCAGATAAATTAATTATGGCTAATTTTAGTCTATATCTTAAATGGTCTGAGTTAAATTAGTTATTTCTTTTACATTAGTAGCTACTATAAGCTTTGACAATGCATTTTAAGACAATGCACTTTAAGAGTGAAGTAATTCAAATTCTGTGAAAACGCTACATTTTATGCAATGTAGCTTTTACCATATAAGTAGACTATTCGAGCCTTTGGGTATAAATAACCCAATCACACCAATGCAATTAAAAAACAAACATCACTGATAAAAGCACAAGGAATTTTTCTATTGAAAGATATTCCAGAGATTTTCTTAATTAGAAAAAATATTATATATTTGCTTATTTCCAATCCATGTAGTCTTATTGTCACAGCAAGCTTATTTGCAAAAGTCAAACTGCTTTTGACTGGATTACCCACATTTCTCCTGGCATTAGTATTCTATGACACAGTTAATCCACAGAACACATTAATGTACAGCAAAAAGAAGCAAAAATATACCATACATAATCTATCCCAGATTACTAATTCATAGAGCAGTCTATAAGCATCTACAGAGAACTTCCAAACATGAGTTACCATGAAAGAGACAAGTGTACAACAGAAGTTAAGATACAGCTGATCAACCTTAGCCTACACTTAACAGATAAAGAGATGACTTAAGAGGAAGATGGTGGGGGTAGGGGAAGCTTGATTTAAAAAGTTTACCATTTCTTCTGATTTAACTTTGGTTTGTTCCCATTCTTCTTGTTGACAACATTAATTTTTCCATTTTCTAACCTGACTCCATCCAACCTGCAAATCATTAACATTAGTAGTAAGTAATACAATTAGTATACAGTTCAAACCATTAAGAACAGTTTCACAAAGTAACAGCACTTCAGTGGGCTCGTATCGTGAATATGAAAAAGGATCAAAATCAATCATCACAGAAAACTAGAAAGGGCCAGTTGTTACTTGAAAGTCTTCACTGCAGATGTAAAATGTAACTGACATTCTTTCCACATCTTACCTATCTTATTTATTACCTTAGATGAAAGCTATACTGTTATAGTTAAGGCCAAAGTCCGACATCACAGGGTCAAAGATCTAGGAGTTATGTATACTGCTACCAGTCAGTTATCTGAGCAAAGACAGTGGTTTGGAAGAGATGCGTGTTTCAGCACAGGCTTCTTTAGCACCCTAATTCATCAAGGAGGCTTGTGCATGGGATGGTAAAGACACAGGAGTGCTGCTGGTGGATTACAAAGCAATACACTTTCAAAGGGAAAGTGCTTTAACATCAAAATTTTACTTGGGAACTCAGTTTTAGCAGCAGCTTCACATCTTTGCTGATTAATTTTAGTGTTTGCAAAAAATACGGTGAAGGAAACTGCCCTGAAAAAGCTCATTCACTCCTTTGAAAGGAAAAGACAAATGAAGAAAAAAAAAAAAAACAAACCTGAGTAATACAGTTCTACAGAGACATTGGGTCTCAATTCCGTTAGTTTCACCACATAATGTTAAAAATGCATCAGTCAAACAAGAATTTAACTTTGCTTTGTTTTGTTTTACGCTAAATATGTTCACTGTCTATGGAAAAACTGGTAGACTATGGACAACAGCATAGAAATTCATCAATCCAAAACTCAATTAGATCAGCTGTCTCTAACAAAACAAGTATTGATGTTTTATGACAGTCATTCTGGAAAGTCAGATGATTTGCATCAGATGTCAAGTCTCAGAGAGCTCATGCCTTAAAAGATACACAGGACACATGTTTTAAATGCAAATGTCCAACAGGTTCTAGGACACAGTAAGGGCCAACAGCACATTTCCATCCTATAGAAGCCTATTGAAAAATGATGCTTAAGTACATAAGCATGCTACGAAAGTCTGCTTCTGACATTATTCGAAAAGGTCATACATGCCTTCTCTTAGCAAAGAGCATCAGAACAAACTGATGTTGCTTTAAAGAGATGACATGGTGTGTGCTGTAAACTTTCATACTTACAAACAATAAAACCAGCAAAAAAAGGCAAACTTATCAACCCCAACTAGCCTTCTACTTTAGTAACAACTAAAGTTAGATCAGCTTATAGAAAAACACTCTGCGAAGAGCTTGCCAGAATATGAATGCATTTCCTTTCACCTACCTTCCACTTAAATTGCTGAGTCCAAACTTCTTCGCAGCACTTTGCAACATTTTTATGAGGTTAGCTTCTTCACCAGCAACTTTGCCTTTTTTAGATTTGCTCTTCTGTTTTTCATTTATAACTTGCACTTGATTATTTCTGTAAATCTCAAATGCAGACTTTCCATTAACATTTTCATCAAAACTCATTTTGCTCAGGTTAGAAATTAAAGTCTCTTGATATTCTTCTGATTTTCCTTTATGCAGGATTTTTGGTTTATAACCATGAGTCAAAAGATCACAAGTATCAGTATATATGAACTGCAGAAGGTATGCAAACAGATCTGGATGAACTCTCTCTATTACATAAAGATCACATCCAACAGCATCTTCATCTTTACGGCAGACGTCTGGAGTGTCTAGCTGGTTGTCACTGGAAACAAACAGCTTCTTGAAGAAGTCAGAGCGTACAGCCAGGATGTATTTGTGCACGGGGTAAGTTCTTGTGCCAATCTGAAAAGTCACATCATGGATGCTGTCCATTTCATCTGTTTCAGCTAACAGTTTGCCAAAATCCTCTCCAAAACTTGATAATGACACACTTGGAATTTCATAGAGACTAGAACAAAATGAAATCCATCAAAAAACCCACTACTTACAAGCTCCATAAAATTTTACATAGTATGTTTAATGAAAAGGGTGAGGTTGTTTCCGTTTGGTTTGTTTGGGTTTTTTCTTACATTGCTGAACTACTCAACTTGTCCTATTCTTCACAGAAAGAACTAATAATATGGTATTTAGGCAATTAAACCACATACGTAAGATCTATCTAGCTTCAGAATATCAAATATAGTATTTTGTCTTCATAATGTAGCCAGTAAATATGTATCATCAGAACTATCTTATCTTCATCTCATTTTCCCAACAAGAAAACACAGAAAAGTTTTCTGTATTTCATATTACAATCCAAAGCAATAAGGAAAAAAAGCTAATATTTACTTATTTGTCAGATATATTGAGAACTATTATGAGAGTGCAAGGAACATGATTCAGTATTCTACTTACTCATTTTACTTTATTTGTTTGGAAAAGCAGTAAAATGAATTAAAGATCCACTTTTCACTTTTATTTAAAAGCTGATTATTGGTGATTACAGAAGGGGTGAATTTCTACAGTATTTAGAGCTTGGAGTGTGTTAAGAAATATATCGCACAAATGCTTGCCTTAAACACTTTAGATAAAACATCAACACTATCTATACTAATCATGCAAATATATAAGCTGAGGTCTTCGGGTAACTTCAACACAGCTGTTTACTAGTAAGTGCTATTCTCTAGCAGTATGGATAACCATATTTACTGTGACTGCTGTATGAGCCAAAAAATGGTTTTGAAAAGCAGAATTATTTAATTGCAATCACACACAAAAAAGAGAAAAATTACAGTTGTTGATATTTTAAATATACCTTGTTTTAGGATCTGACTGTAAAACAGCAAAATTGCAACCATTAGGATCGGTGGCAATACTAACAGCTCGGTGGACAAAAGTAAGCTTCTGAAGTCGAATTCTTTCATACGCACTGTTCGTATCATGTTCACAAGACACATCACATGGAGAATTCTGAAGGCTCGATACAAGTTCTGCTAAAAAAAAAAAAAAAGATTTGGGGAAAAAAAAAAAAACACACAGAAAGGTCCAGCTAATTAAAATGCAACTAATACAACAAAAAGGCAAGATTTATGACATCTGTAAGTCCATTGATGGAGTCACTGAATAAGGCTAAACTATGCTGAAGATTTCATCTTGCTTAACTGAAATACAGGAAGACGTTTTAAGAACAAGACTTTACATTACATATAGGAGAGTTTTTATCCAGAACTACTTGTGGAAGTGTTTTGCCACTTCTTCATATAAGGGAAAACACTCCATCTAGCATTCAATGCAACCTCTTGTGGAATGAAACAAGCTGTGCATCAGTGTACAGTAGTGCAAGATCGTTTTCTTTTCCTGTCATACCAATTACAGCAGATATAATACAATTGCCTTCAGACTTCATCTTATATCTGTTTAAATTATACCCTAACTAACAAAATACTATTGAAAAAACATGATATTCTCTGAATACTGGATTATTTTTCAAGAACTGGATAACCGAATACATGCACACCATTCGCCACATTCATTAAAACCTCTCAAAAAACCAGAAGCTCTCATTCATTACAAATCAGTGATGAACATCAACTAGACATTCAACTAGTCAACAGGTCTGGATTCTGAAGTTTCCTTGAAGATACTAAAACTACAAAAAGAACAGCAATAAGCAGAAAGAAGAGAGTGCCTACAGACACGTACCAGCACCAGGACAAACAGAGCGAAAAGGAGATACGTTTGGTGCCTCTGTAATGAGGGAACTACAATGTGATGTGTAGAATAAAAGAAAGTAGCAACAGAGTAAAACTAGTATGCACTCTGCATTGAGCAACAGAGGAAAGTTTTTTGCTGTGAAAGAATGCAAAAATGGACTGATAAATCTAAAGATGGAATTTTGGTATCAAAGGAAGTAGAACTGTAACATAAAGTTATAAAGTTCAAATACATCCCAGGTTGGAAGTAAATCCCTTTCTATCCACAGAGTTTTAAGACCCCTACATGAACAGAGCTGACAGTTTCAATTAAAATCTTGTCCTATAGTAGACAGGTATCTTCCTCGCAGAAAAACAGTCCATCAGGACCTACTCTCAGCAATATGAGCCAAGTTAATAAGGCAGAAATTGCTCTGGACCCTGTATTATGGCCAGATAAGGGTCTGGGAAACATGGTAAGGTTTCACAGACTTAGCAGTGCAAGCAAGTACATGCTCCTTCATGTACGGTCTCTTAGGACTGGTCATCTAATATGTGACAAGATCGTTACGCTGGACCCTTGTGCTACTATTGCTCTTCAGAAGTGCTCTTCTTCCTGGAAATCTCCACCTGAAGGTTAACTGAAGGCTGCAAAGTAAATAAATCTTGGTATTGTTGAGGAAAGAGAACAGTAGTGGTCAATGCTACCAACCGTCAACCACTGAGGAAAGAACAAACTCAGCACATAATACTGTTAGAGACTGTAAAGATTCAATTAAACTTCTATATTGAAGTACTTAAAAACAATTAAGAATCACAACTAACCTTTCTTTTCTGAGATTTTTTTCCCTTCTTCCAGCCATTTCCCTGTAAAGGCTTCACCATCCTGTGACACAAACATCATTTCATTCCTATTTAAAGCAACATCAGACATGAAGACTTGCCGACCATACACCCAACGACACTGCTTCATGGAGTTGTTAGATGACTTCCAGCAAGACACCTATAATATCATTTTTTCAGAGAAAGGGGAAATCCTTATATCATATAAAAGCAGTTACATATTACACACTACTTTTTTTAAACACAAGAACATGCCATCTTAAAGTTGCATGCAAAGGGAGAAAGACAGTCTTCAAAATTATATCCTGAAGTGTTATGAGCATCTATTACAAAGAACCCACAAGTAAAACAGGGAAAACCTATTATGATATCAAGATCCATTTGCCCATGAAGGGCATTTGAAAAGCTTCTCTGAATATTCAAACATCTTCACAGCAGTCATCTATAGGACAGTTTTTACTGACATTTCAACAAGGACAGCAAAAGGTGTCATCAAGTCAAGAAACAAGCTTAATCTAGTTCTTAATTTACAGATTTGTCCAACTGGTTTGCTTATAAATCAGGTAAAATTCAAAGCTAGCACACCAAAAATTTAAACCATTTCCCGCTAATCATTTGACAAAAATCTCAAGTTTTTCTGTACCAGCCAAGGTTTTGGAATAGAGATCATGACCAAACACAAACTTCAAAACATTCAACAAAATGTGAAGAACTGCATGCACAGCAGGACCCCAACAAGGTATACTGTAGATGTCTGAAAGAAGCAAGCATGAAGCAACAATCCCATGCAAGTTAAAGCCCAGATGTGGCATTAGCAGTGCTAAAGATGGGCTTTCATCTTCTCCCACTGAAGGACTTGCACAGGTCTGTTAACACCTACATAAGGAAGGGACAAAAGAATTTGAGTAACCTATTTCCTTTCCCCCCCTCAAGTCCTACAGAATCACAGAATGGTTGAGGTTAGAAGGGACCTCTGGAGGTTGTCTAGTCCAGCCCCCCTGCTCAAGGAGGGCCACCCAGAGCCAGTTGCCCAGGACCACGTCCAGACAGCTTTTGAGTATCTCCAAGGATGGAGACTCCACAATTACAATGGGCAACCTGTGCCAGTGCTCGATCACCCTCACAGTAAAAAAATGCTTTCTGATACTCAGACAGAGCTTCCTTTGTTTCAGTTTGTGCCCATTGCCTCTGGTTCTGTCACTGGGCAACACTGAAAAGACTGGCTCTATCTTCTTTACAACTTCCCTTCAAGTATGTATATACATTGATAAGATCCCCCTTGAGCCTTCTCTTTTCTAGGCTAAACAGTACTCTCTTAAAGAGAGTACAATCAAGCCAGACCAGGAAGTGCTCATTCGGGAAACAGAAGTATTAAGATTTCTTCCATCTCCTTACTCAATAATTTATATTGCCTAAAAGCACTAAAGATCCCAGCACTTGCCAGTATTCAGCATGGAAAGACATTAAATGTAGGTTGACGTAGCTCCACTGATACAGGAAGACAAAGTAGTTTCTTACTGCTAGAGCAGTGTCCCAAAGATGTTGAAGGGGCACCACCAATACTACAGATGCTAGAGGCTAAGCCTCCCATGAACAAATACTGAACTGGAAGGTTATAATCTCCGAGACAACTAATGACCTAATAAACAGATAAGATCTTCCCAAAACATAATTCAGTCAAATGCAAGGAAAAAAAAGGAAATACCCACACTGCTCCCTACTTTGGCATAAAAGCTCAGCTTTCAACATTCTTTAAGAAGGCAGCATTTCAGTAACAAAACCTTTTTGTAAACACCACTAGATGGCACTGAAGGTTTACATCTCCCAGTGAGCAGGTCTAGAAAAGGCTGGGGTTTTGAAGGGTCCTATGAACTGTTACTCTATCAAAGAATGAGGGAAGAAACCAATAAAACCACCATAGTATTCCAGTTCTAAGACAACAGAGTGTCTACACTTAACTAGAAATACTAAGCCACTCACAAGGTTTAGCTGCAACTTTTCTACAATAAAAGGGACATCTCATCTACAGAACAACCGCTTTTCAACAAAGGCTCTAAAAATTCAAGTCCAGAGACTACTTCTGAGACTATTCTGGAGGGCATAAAGGTGACTGGGTAAGTGGGGTGAGGGGAGAGATGGGAAAAAAAAAAAAAACAGACCATGTAAGCTGTATAACCACTTATGTATGTAAAAGTAAAGGAATTTACACCTTCACTGAAAAACCATTAGATATTCACAGATTTAAAAATAAACTACTGCACATTACTTTGGCAGTCTTCCCACAGCCCTTTAAAAAAAAAAAAAAAAACAAAAACACACACAAAAAAACCCAACCAACAAAAAAACAACAAAAAAAAACCAAAAACCAAACCACTAGCAGCTCTACACAAATGAATTGGGTACTTCCTATGCATGATTTTGACCTGTCAACTTCTTATGTTTAAAGTTTGATTAATCAGTATGCAGCTTGCTATATAATTATGATTTCTAGGGACACAACTTACTCTTCCAGCTTCATCCAGCACTAGAATGGAAATCTTCTGACCCCCATTTTCTTTAAGATGCTGGGTATCTACCTTATATTCCAAATATCCCCCATTAACAAGAACTTTTTTAAGGTTCAGCTGTCTGAAAGAACACAAAAGGTTAAATTAGTATTTCTTCATTGTGTATTGACGTTGCTTCTATGACAGTTACCTTTTTCATTTAGAGAAGTAGAAAAAAAAATACAGTTGAGGTAGTGACACTGAAAATTACTTAAGTTTAGTTTCTCCCCACTGGTATTACTAACCTAACTGCTAATAAAATACTATTAGTAGATTGTAATTTTTGCTTTGCTTTTAAGTAAGTCACATCATATCCACAGGTTCTTCACAAATCTTCACAAAATACAGTAAGTGAAAACCAGTATATGATTTAGCTTTGATCTTCAGCATTACAAAAATTATAGTTGTATAAATTTCATTTTAAAAGACCTATCCTATCCCAGTAGGCTGTTTCTCAGGTTTTTTGGTGGGTTTTGTTTTTCACCTGATCAAAACCATGCAAGCTCTCTCTTTTCAGTTTCTTAGTATAAGAGTGCAATACATGGTATTTTCTCCAAGTACCAGCACCTTCACTTACAACCATAGAAATGAAGTATAAAATAATCATTAAGCTATAACATGTCAATAAACACTGCTAGAATTTGAAGTGAAGCTGAAAAGCTAACTGGGAGTTAGTTGGGAAAAAATGCTAATTATCCCTTCTAATCTGTTATTGCAAACTAAGTAAGAGAGAATAGGATCAAATAATTTCCTAAATTTACGAGTCACGGGCCCAGTTTCTTCAACAGGTTTTACATCCAGGTTTTAGCGTATGGACCAGATGATGTCACAAGGTTCCCCTTGCAACCTAAATTACCCTTTATAACATACTATATCCATGAAATTCAGACCCCAAATTACTGATTCAAAATCATAACAACATAACTAAATAGAATAGCAGATCTTCAACACCTCTACCAAGATGCATTTATAAAAATTCAGGCTAACAGATGAACAAAAAATACCAGTTAAATACTTTTACACCTGTGACACAAAATATTTCCTCTTGGTATGTTTTTTTAAATGTCTTTGGTAAACAACGAGTGGCACCTTAGCCTCATCCAATAACAAATAAACAAACAAACAAGATAGCCGCAGTTCATATGAAAGAACTGCAAATGAAAAAAACTCTGGGGAGCACTGTATTTTCTGTACTTTATGCACAAAAATCTTTAAAATAGCTTGCAAGTATAAGACTACAATGAAATCTTCACCTATTGTTCTTCATGACAAATAAGGAAAGTAACACATACTTCGAAGCCATCTTTTTGCACTGATAGTCTGCAAGTAAATAAATATCTCCTCTTTCAGTAACACACACTGTAGCGCCATCGCTTGCAGAGACCAAGGACACAGAGATATCTTTATGGTGTAAAGCAGAAACTTGGCGAGGTGTAGTTACACATTTTTCTCCATTAGGATCCAGCAGATAACCTAGAAAATACAAAACACCCCAAAAATATTATTTTCCATTCCACACATTGTGCATTTAAAGGACACTTTGCTACACTACTTTGAAGAACCTTTAAATTCTAAAAGGTTTTTTAGGTAGTTAGATAATTCATCTTCAAAATAATTAGACAGATAAGAGACCCACCACACATGCTTGTTAATTCACCACAAACACCAGAAAATATTCAAGATTTGATACACAAAAAATGAGGTAGGGCATATTCTACAGGGAAAGCTATTTAATGTGGTTCGACTCTGCAGTGGTACTGCCTTTGATTCCAAAGAAAGAACATTTATTTGATCATATTACAGCTCAAGACACTAAAAGTACTATCACACTGGCATAAACTATAGATTATTTCATCCATTGGAAGATACTAAACAAGCTTGTCATAAAAATTACTATAAGTGCACATAGGCATGAAAGCAGGCAGTTACATGAAACAATGGACAAGGTTGGAGCTGTAATGTAAGGACTCTGAAAACTTGAAAAAAAAAAAAAACAAACAGGCCACTGCTGCTCTGCTGCATCAAGAAACCTAACATGAAGAATCTCACGCATAACATAACGCTGCTCTGTGTGCACTTATGTCTGCACCACAAAGTGGATCAGGATACAAATATCCAGGAACAAGCAGCAGAGCTACCTCTAAAGCTGAAAGCAACCCTGTCATATGACAGTGTAGTGCGATGCCCAAACATCTTAAAAAGGCAAGGTTTATTACCACAGGTCTATCATAGTGCCCAGCTGACACAACTATACCGCTTACGATCCAATTACTGCCTCCATATGGTACTGCACTGGGCCATGTGCACACCAGAATAATCTCAACAACACAAGCAACCACGAAAAAAACGTTGTATGATGGGTGCATATAAAAACCCAAAAACAAACAAACAAAAATATTCATTAGTAAGATACTTCTCTGACAAAGACAAGTTTTTTCACATACCTTTGCAATCTTAAATAGGAACACAAAAAAGTGTCTGAACCTGATGCCAGAACTGATGCAGATTAACTGTAAGTATGAGAGCTAGCTAACAGTTTTGTTTGCACACAGATACAGAACTGCAGAAACGCAAATCCAAACCAATATTGCAATACCTGTTTATTAAAAAAGACAAAAGCAATTAAAATATCCCATTCATACAACAAATCAAGAAGTTCACTAGTTGGTAACACATTTTTTATTAGGTTCTTTCTTGACTTCAGAATAATACTGATTTAAGTGAAGACTGTGGTAATGGCATTGTTGAAAAAAATTCTAGGTATGGGCAAGCATTTCAGTTTAAAAAGTTAGTATGGAAAAAGTTATCAGTAGCATGTTTACAGTGCGTGGTGAAAGAAGGACACAGGCAGGAGAGCTGAATGCTAGTTTATAATTTATTAAGGGCAGTACCAGCCAGACTGCTGGAAGGAGACAACCACGCCTTGGGGTAATTTGCAACACAAACAGCAACATTCTGTTTCCTGAAAGTCTTCAGTAGCAGGACCACGCAAGATACATGGAAGGCGAAAGAATTATAAAGAGTTCAAATAAATAACAGAGCTAAGTCTGACTAGCTCCCATCATCTCAAAATGTGAAAGCGACTGGCAGTAACGAAAAATATTTATCAAAAGAAGTGTGAAGGGATGATGTCATCAGACTGGTTTAAAAAAAAAAAAAAAAAGGGAAAAAAAAAGAGAGAGAGAAGAGAAAGCTTTAACCAGGCTTCTGTTGTAAGCAGCAGATGACAGCTTTAGTACAAATAACATCTTTTAATGGCTGGGTTTTACTTTCAGAACGCTTCTACCTTACCTAGTTGGCCGCCATTCAGCCCCATGGTATACACTGCTTCCTTAGTCCATAGCACTGTATGGAATCTGCCTGCAGCCACTCCAATCACCATTCTACCTTTCAGGTTTTTTGCCTGAACCTAAGCACAAATCCAAAGTACATCTTAATATTAAGCAGCAACAGGTGAGTTTCACATGTACAAACTTCTGACAACATTTAACTCCTAAAGTTGTTAAGAATGAAGCATCAATCCACATACAGTCTAATAAGTCAGGATTATTTCAGAAGTTTGTCAAGTGGGGCACTATTGCAGTAGTGACAAAAAGAAGTAAACTTTTTGCATTATCTAATCATAACTAGAATCAAATCTCCTTAGGCTGTCTTCATATGTAAGATGTTGAAAAAGACTGCACAGGACATGTATAAGATAGCCAAAGAAAACCCAGGTGCTGCAAAAGTGTCAACTAAAAAGTTTCAGCTTGTAAGTCCTAACACCCTAAACACACTGCAGAACACTATACTACTAATTCCACACTTCAAATCTAAATTGATTTTCCAAATCATCAAAGCAAATACTGTGGATACACAGGTATCATTACACTATTGAAGAGCATCCCATTGTACCCCAAAACACTACCCTGTTGCACTTCGGCCAATTATTCTTTCCTACTTTTATAACACTGGTAGTGAATGTTGTTCTACTCCGGATGAAGCTTCCTTTCAATAAAAGGTAATGTAACTCTTATTTACTTAGGGAAAAAAAAATTAGAAAAAGTTCTAGATTGAGCATAGAAGTATAGTCAAGTTGCTGATGCCCATACCCTCTCTTCCCTATCGCTATTCTTCCCAACACATTATGATTCCAGAATCAACAGTGCTTCCAGCAAAGGACACAACCATCAAACCCTGAGATCCATCATCCAGTGAGATTCAAAAGGAGTAAAGAGCATGAATCTCAAGCATTACATACCTATTACTTTTACATCATTTCAGCTACGGAACAATTTAAGGAACAAAAGGGTTTTGGCAATTGTACCTTGTATCATACTTAGCACTACAAACTTTCGTACAGTTCAGGTTACAAACCAAGACGTTTATCAGGACACAGGTAAATATTTAAGACTGAAATGTATGATAACACAGAATTGAGATTTTATCTGAACTCACATTCAACTTTATTGTCCTGAAAAAGTTTAAAAGTTATTTCCACAATCTTTACATTTTACTTTCTGTTAAAAGAACAAACAAACAAACAAACAACTAAGCTTTAACTGATGTTATTTTTACCTGTCTAGGAACATTGCAGTTAGTAGGAGGAGGAAGAATACCCAATTGATGGAAAGTATTTAAACCAAATGTGTAAACATATCCATCTTCTGTTAAAACAACAGTGTGATCCTTCGCGGCAGCTATCTGAGAGCATTGATGGCCAGCTAAGCCTTCCACGAGTCTTGGAACCTGAACAAGGAAAAAAAAAAAAAGTTTGATATTAACCAGTGGCCATCTATGAAACTAAAGTTACAGCAACAGAAAGTCATGACCAAATATTGAACTACAGCTGAAAATGCATTTGAACATACAATACACTCATTAACATAATTACCACATCCAATGCAACAAGATGAACTACTTTCACTTGAAATGCATCCTCTGCTATCAGGGGAGATGATTTCTAAACTACCTGCTCTGAAATTAGTCTGGAAACTATATCTTCAGGACAGCCAGACAAATATTAACTATTATCTCTTTTGTTTTTCTTTTTAAATTACCATGAGCGAAAGATTTCTCCCTTCCTCCAAAACACAGGATAATCCTAAGAAAATCCCACAGAATAAGGAAGCAGTTCTGTATCTTTGACTCTTCATGCATTCTAACACGAGTTCTCCTTTATTCAGCTGGGTAACATCCCAATTTCAAAACAGCAATTTGCAAAGTATTCTCATTTCACAGAACTCCATTTTTTTTAAAAAGCATTAAAAATTGAGCTCCAGTCTTCACTATAACATCCAGCAACATAATATCAAGTTCTACCAGATACTTACCATTAGAAATTTTACAAAAATTATTGTGCTGCAAACTAGATGCCTGAAGTCTAAGAATTGTATTGTCATCATAGACTAGATGCCAGGTAGTGTGCACAGGATAAGATACTGAAGTCTAAGAATTGTACTGTCATCATATCTTAGTCTTCTCAAATTTTGTTTTTGCATATTGCAACAATGTACTATTCAAACGAAAATGATAGGTGAGTTTTCACTTAATTGCTGTGCAAGTCTAGTAAGAAGCAACCCTACCATCACTTTTCATGCCACTACAGCTCCACAGTACTGCTCTTGCCTTTGTGCCAGCCCTGACAGTTATCAGACGGCATCACAAACCTATTTAAGAAGGCAGCCCAGCCAAAAACCATTTGCTACCATTTGCTTCCACTTACCTGGCATCAGCTAGCCTTTAAAATGACTCAGCTATAACACAGTGATGACCGCAGTACCTAGCTATCTTAAATTAAAATATATTTTAATGCACGTTCTTCTACTCTGCCACCTCACTAGTAGTACTGGAGAGGGTTTTTTTTCTGTTATTTGGTGGGGAGCAAGGGGGTTGGTTTGAAATCAACAGCAAACTCGTTTTGAAAGTACATTCACAGAAACTCTAATTCACTTTTTAGACTTGCTGTTTGAAATAAAAGAAGTATCATGCTAGACTACACAAGATAGCATAAGATAGCATACCAGGCATGTTTGTTCATCACCATGACCCAAGCGTCCTCCTTGTCCATGTCCACATGTATATACTTGACCTTTGTGGGAAAGGAACACAGAGTGGAATTTGCAGAGTACCACCTGAAAGAAAAAGGGCAAAACAGGGGTGGGGAAGAGGCAGTATAGGACAAATTAATTTTCTTGGATAATCTGAAAACACCTGCCAAAACTACTTTGTGAAGAAGTTCAGCTTTAATAAAGATCTGTTCGTGAAAATACAAGTAAGATACTAGTATTAAGCACAGAACTGCCAAATCAAGACACAAGGAACACAAAATATTTGCTTTAAATTTATTATGTACTGCTTTAACCTACTTGAAGAGACCTACAGTTTGTATTTATTAAAAGAAGTTCAAGCAAGGCCCTACAGGCTAACAGAAGCTCAAAAGATTGAGCTTTAAGGGCAACAATGTTTCCTTCAGCTCTTCTGAGGCAGTATGTTAAGACTGCAGCACAGATTGTCTGCCCTGAATGCTTGTTCAAGTTGTACTTTAAACTTTCAAACATTCTTAACCTGAAGTCCCAAGAAGTTACTAGGAACAAAACTACTCTTACAGGAAGAGCGCTTAACAGCACGTGCTGCTTTCAACACAAGAATTTTAATTCAACGTGTATCAAACAGATTCATTGTCCCACTTCAGTTCACTATGGGAGTTGCACAAGAGGTCAGAAACTCAAAACAGTTACAGAAGTATCATGCTTCTGAATTTATTTAATGATATACAAGCCATATATCCAAGGTAAGTAATAACAAAAAACATTCTCCCCACCAAAACAGAGAACCATGATTTAAATGAGGGTGATCGGGGAGGGGGGAAGCAGCAAGAATATAATACAGCAGGCCTACTCTAGTACTCCTTAGCTGCTCTAAGCTGCTTGCCAGATCAATGGAAACTGCTTGCTGAGAAATAACTGGGAAGAAAGAAAGAGAGGGGAAACAAAAACAAACACAACAGAAAACCCACAGACCCAACTTTTTTTTAATGCGAATTTTCAAAACTCGATAACATCTTCGATAGTTGTTCCCCCAGACCCCCCCCTCCAAGTTCACTGAGAAACGTGCCTAAGTAATACTTTCAGAATACCTGTTTGATATACATGCCATTCCGAGGAAAAAGGTCCACCAATTCAGGATGATGTTTACCCTGTTGACCACCATGACCCAAAGTAAAATTTATATTGTTTCCCCACGTGTAGACTTCTGTGGGATCTGCAATGAAAAAAATTATCTCTGCAGACTGTAAATTTACCAGTCTCGCGCATACTGACTTTGAAAATCAACTCCTGCTGTTTCCGTTTAAAATTTGAAGAGGAAAGCTGTTTTTTACCTAAAATTGAACTTTTAAAAGTTTTATTCTTATGAGAAGGAAGGTGCTATGACAAAATATTTTAACATCAATGTGCAGAAGATGATCAACATTAATTATATGTATTTTCCAGTTGCAGAATATGCAAGCATTCCTCAGCAGCAAATGCATTTATGTTTTCAGAAGACAACTACTACTACCTTAGATTATACATGTTTTGTTTCAATTTAGTAAAAAGCCTTTCCCAAAAAAAGGTTATGCTGTCATGTATGAAAACCATACACTTTCAAATCAGAGGTGTGTCCAAAAACTAACATTTTTTAAATAACCTCTCAGTTACAATGATACCTGAACACCATTTTCTCATGAGCAAGAAACTGAAATCAATGTATATTTGATCATGTTGAGCTACTACTAAAAAGATTAAATAATTTTAACATATTTTACAAGGTAAAATTAAAAATACCCAAAACTCAGGGTTTGTGTAACCAAAAATACTTAAACTGACTGGAAACAAGCTGAAAAGAACAAATTTCACTGTGCAACAAGACTGAACTTGGGGACATGGAGAAAAGGGGAAAGAAGGGGGTAGAAAAGTACAAAACAGCATAAAAGTAAGTAAAAGCCACTAGAAAAACTACTCCCCTGTCAAAGAAAAACTTGTGTGCTCAGAGTTATTCTTACATACTCATTTCCTATTTGGAGAAACTGTACTTAGAGTGAATGTAACTAGCTTATATCAAGCTATCTTGTCTAAAAATATTTTGAAGATTCAAGAACATATTCCCCCTCTTTTCACAAAAGACACATTAGTGATGTAAACTATCAAATTCAAAGACAGTGTAGTCTCTCTGATAAAATGAATTGAGATAAAAGAGAAAAAAACATCACAGAATAATTGAGGTTGAAAGGCACCTCCGGAAATCATCTAGTCCAACACCTCTGCTCAAGCAGGGTCAGCTAGAGCAGGCTGCCCAGGACCACGTTCTCTCAGGTTTTGAATATCTCCAAGGCTGGAGTCTCCACAACCTCTTTGGGTTACCTATTATACCACTTGCCTTTTTTTTTCCCCCTACCTCTAAGTCAGTCATTATTCCTTCATTTTTGCTACACATGTGCATCCTGTGCCTACTGCCAAGATTCTGCATCTGCTGTCTTATGAAATTAGTGACTCCACATCTTCAGATCTCTCATCACTTATACAGTCCTAATTAGAAACAGGAAATATTGTCTACGCTGGTACATACATTAATACATTGTTGAAACATACCTCCTTGAAAAATACAATTTAAGCTACTTGATTTCCTACCAGTTTTCTTGAAGACCACATGGACTGGCCTATCTTTCATCACAAGATCCAGGGCTGATAAGCCTTCTTTATCCTGAACATACAGACTAACGCCATGCTGAAAGAGAAGGAAAGGAGGGGAAGAGAACAACAAAGTTAAAATTAAACTTCACAGCTTTAAGTATGCCAGGTAAACGCTTAAGAAGCTAAACAAATCTTTAATTGAAATTTAATATTGATAAAAGAAAATCCTCAGATTCTTTCAAGTAAATTATAAGCAGATCTGAAAAAACCAGTGCAGTTCTGTTCAACTACATATGCATCATGTTGATCTATTAACTGGGATTTTATTGTATGAATACTGATTGAGCAATAAGACGTAATCAGGGAAACACAAAGGAAAAACACTTAAAGATAAAGCACTGCCATCTAGGAAGGGCAAGTATTTACCAAAAATGCATTTACCAGCTTTGAAGAATACATTTTCTTCTATCGGCATGTTTACAGAATCAGTGGCTATGATCACTACGGCTTTGAAAACAAGCAGGGAACAGTGGTTCACAGCTGCTGAGAAAGGGCAAGAAGACACAAACAGCCAGACAAGACAGCAGCAAGGAAGCTTCAGAAGCACAAAGCATGAACAGGTCATTGCTTTAGAACTTTGAGAGAGGTAGATATTCTCTGTAAATACCGTTTTCTCAATACAAAAAAGTGCTGCTATACCAGCACTGGTTTTAAGGAAGTCAGGTGTCATCAATCAGATCCCTGAAGGGAAGAACTGCGGATGTCCCCAAGCAGAACCTAATGGGTAATACGGCTGTACCACAGCTCATGGCTAATATAAAGAAAACCTTACAGAATTTCACACTTAAGAGGTAAACACATGAAATACAAAAATCAAGGGCGCACAGTCCATTCAAGCATGACAGAAGGACAGATTAGGACAAAAGGAAATGGCCTCAAGTTGCGCCAGGGGAGGTTTAGATTGGACACGAGGAAAAATTTCTTTACTGAAAGAGTGGTTAAACATTGGAAGAGGCTGCCCAGGGAAGTGGTTGAGTCCCCATCCCTGGAAGTATTTAAAAGACATGTAGACAAGGCGCTTAGGGACATGGTTTAGTGGGCATGGTGGCGTTGGGTTGATGGTTGGACTCGATGATCTTAGAGGTCTTTTCCAACCTTAATGATTCTATGATTCTATGACAGCTAGCCACATCTGCAGTAGGATTTTAACCTGTAACTTCATTTGGAAAAACACTAGCCAGAACAACAACACACATTCTCCAAATTATAAAGGCAACTCTACTAGCAACAGTGCTGGTATTAATTCACTATATGACAGAAAGACCGACCTATTTTTATGATTTAACAGGTAGCTGGATAGTCTTCTCTTTGGCAGCTGCATAGGTCATTTACAAGCAGAACAGAGGCTGCAGTGATATTTACATGGTCTGAATTTGTAAAAACAAGCCCGAATTGCTGAGTGGCAAGACTTGTAGTTAGATACAGTCTGAGACTAAGTCATGACTGCGTCCAGCCCACAACAGAAGTCTGTCATCCACACTAGTTGAGTACCCCAGGGGTTGATGCTGGGGCCATTACTGTTTAACATCTTCACTAACGACCTGGATGACAGGACAGAGTGCACCCTCAGCAAGGCTGATGATGATACAAGACCAGGAGGAGTGGCTGATAAGCCAGAGGGTTGTGCTGCTATTCAGAGGCACCTTGACAGACTGGAGCAATGGGCGGACAGGAACCTCGTGAAGCTCAACAAAGGGAAATGCAAATCCTGGCCCTAGGAGGGAACAGCCCAGTGTACCAATACAGCTGGAAGCTGACTGGCTGGAAAGCAGCTTGGCAGAAAAGGACCTGGGGCTCCTGGTGGACAACCAGTTGACCACAAGCCAGCAATGTGTCCTCACAGCTAAGAATGGTGAAAGCATCCAGGGCTGCATGAGGGAGTGTTGCCAGCAGGCATTACTCAGCACTGGCAAGCCACAGCTGGAGTGCTAGGTTCAGGTCTGGATTCCCCAGTACAAGACAGACATGGACATACAGGAGCAAGTCCAGCAAAAGACCATGAAAATAATAACTGAGGCACCTGACATACAAGGAGAGGCTGAGAGCTGGGATGCTTAGCCTAGAGAAGGTTCAGGGGGGATGGGGGAGGATGTGTCTTATCAACGTGTATAATAAATACCTGATTGGAGGCAGGGGGTGGGGATCCCAGTGTTATCCAGTGGCAGGACAAGTGGCAATGGGCACAAATTGAAATATAAGAAATTCTGTTTAAACCTAAAAACTATTTTTACTGGACTAGTATTAAAACACTGAAGAGAGATGTTTGACTCTCTGTCCCTGGAGACATTCAAAATCCAACTGGACACAGTCCTGGGCAACCTGCTCTAGCTGACCTTGCTTAAGCATGGGGGTTGGACTAGACAATCTTCAGAGATCTCTTTCTAGCTCAGCTATTTCATAATTCTATTCTATAATCCCTTCCTGTTGTCACTATAATACCTTTCTATAATGCAGTACAGCAGAGAGACTCCAGTTAAGGAACTGGGAGGCAGAGCACTCTCCATGAGCTGTTTCATTCTGCTTCTTAGAGGCATATCAGCAGAGCTAGCTATCAGAAAAACCTCACTCATTTATGCAACTGATAGAAAAGTAAAATATGTGTGGGGAAACCTGTATAGGCCTCCTGTAAGCAAATATCAAAGCTACAAATATACACACACACTAGAGGACTGAATACTTTTTCATACATCACACACACAGTTTCCAGTTTTCTATAGAACAGAATCATGTACAATTCTCACACAAACACCTACTTTTGTGAAGTTTAATGAAAACCTTCTCACTACGTAAGGGTACAGCACATGAAATCCATATTTAACAGTTACCAGATCGTCAAGAATTAAAAACTACTGGATCCACAACCATTTTGCTTGAACTGCTTGTTGAAAGCAGAGAGTTTAATGCTGACAAATGGCCAGTCACTGCAATTTAAAAAGGCTGAACTCAAAATGGGAAATTCTCTGCCTTAGAAGGTTTGCTTTTAAGTAACCCTGAACCACAAATATTTCATTTTCTTACATGGTTAAAGGGACCCTGAACATGTCAACCATATGTAGCTCTTCCCTTTGCTGTATTTTGGAACAGGAGGAACAGAAGAGCAATTGAAAAATATACACAACTTGCTAAGTGGTAGGAAAGAAACAGTAATTGCAAGAAAGGATCGAGGGGGACTGAGCAAAAGCCCTGGTTAAAATATGAATGAAATGGGGATTCACTTAATAAAATGCTCCATATCTTGAAGTGCTTATCTCTCAAATGTAAGATTCATTTCTAATTATAACTCCATTTAAGCTTTTAATATTTTATGTTCTCTAAAAACAGTAATTGGTATAAGCACTGAAGAGTCTATTTTTAGAGTATCTTTAGTCTGATCACTCTCCACTTTTAAGATCCTGACCCTGATATCATCCACACAAACCAGTCTTCAGGGAAGTCCACAATTAATCAGGGATCCTTACTCAGTGCTGATTTCCAAATGGGCAAAGGCAGACATCTTTTATGAAGAGAGAGACAACTTTCAAGTAAATCAATGCACTGCAATCTAAACGCAGTATTAACACAAGTCTCAAGAGGCTTTCAGGCAAGTTTAAAAACCCACATTTACATAATGAATACAACTTGAAAAATTGTAGGTACCAAGGAAAACTACAGTTGTAAATCACTCACCTTCAGTAATGACAAAACACAATCAATGTATCCATAAAATATACTTCTGTGCAAAGCTGTCCATCCAGACTCTTTGTCTTTTGCCAAGAGATCTACTCCTTTGGTCTCAGCCAACCAGTCCAGGACACCTTTTTTGCCACAAGATGAAGCAAGATGTATAACATTTCTACCAAAGGCATCCTTTATAGTTGCAGCATTGTAGCAGTAAGAAGAGAGAAAGGCCTTGATCTGGCCTTCACTTCCTCTGGTTACCACAGAAATAACATCCAAAGCATGCTGTAGAGATCGACACTTTGAAGTGCAATCTGGCATGAGAGAACTCATCTTCACTTCTGAAGCTGCTCTTCTCCTTAAGGGGAACAACCCTTAAGTGTATCAAGGCACTCCAATTCAGTACACAACACAGTGCCTTAAAAGACTTGTAATTCCAAGGACGTAAATCCAGTTTTATTGAGCTGCCATTAGAAATCTTTGTACTGCTATGTTTGGCACTTGATCCAAGTAAATATTTATAAATATATATTTTTAGAAGTCTTATTTCACCATCTTATATAAAAAATATTCTTGTCCATAGGAAATTCCAAAAGTGAACTACCTCAAGTGTGGAGGGGGAATCCCCCTCTCCACACTACTTTATTCTTCTAAAACTCCATAATTGCAAGGGAGACCTGAAAGAGAACAAACCAGAACAGATTAGTCAACAAAAATTTTTTTCCCCAGCAACTGCACCAATTTAAATGCATATCAAACTAGCACTTGCAAGTACAGAAGCAATGTGGCAAGGGTTAGCTCACCTGCCCCATGCCATCTGAGCTTATACTCAGGCATCCAGTCAGTTTAAAAAGACACGACCCCATTCCCCACCCCAGCCTCCAAAGGCACCTCCTCCCATTCTTTGACATAAATCTTTGAGGCTACACAGTGAACTGGATCTAAAAAAGTCATCAGAAGAGGGAAAAAAAAAATGTTTGCTTTCCCAGCCTTAGGGTCCTTAGGACCCTCATAGTTTACTGCCTAATTATATCAATACTTTGTGATCAGAAAGCAAGGACAAAATTAAAGGACTGCTGGGGAAAAAAAAACAAAACCAAAAACTAAAACCAAAAAACACCCACCCACCAAAAAAATCCCCACAGCTGTTGAGAAGATCTTGGCTGACAGAAGCTTTGTCAATCATATCCAGAAAGAGGGAGGGACCACCACAGTTTCCCTTAGCCACTGAAAAAAAAGGATTTTTTCTTTTTTTGCTTTCTCTTCCCTGGCCTGAATGCCTACCCATCTCCCTGCTAAGTATCTCCTGCAGAATCAACAGGAAGGCTCCTCTCCACCAGTCCTGGAGCCACTGACAAATGTGAGAGGAAGGATGGCAACAGAGTGAAGAAAAAAACTTGTACAAGATCTGTGAATTCAGACTGTTAGCACTCATGCAGGGCAAAGGTCTAAAGCTCCCAAACTAGGCAGGAAGAAATTAAGGTCTAGGTTGGAAGGCGTAAGGGAGGAAGAAGAAGGAAAAGGAGGCAAAGATACAAATTCTTATTCATGAAAATATATTCAAAGTCTGGTCCATACAGCATTTCTGCTTATCTGTGCATACTTATCTTCAGCATATCCATCTTTCTCTGGCATCCACTTTCTCAGAAATAAAGAAGGCCTGACAGAAGCACTCATCTTGCCTATTAAATGCATGCAGTTGTATTTAAAAGGGTTACAGTACAAGAAATGCAGACAGCAGTATAAAAATCACACATAAACCCATTTAAAACAGAAAAGGTGAACTATACACATCACTGATACACTGCATAATTTAATGTGAACTGCTATTCAGTCCCAAAAAACTTCACACTTCAATCTTTTCAAGCATAAGTTGCAAATTGAGTGAAGTAGCATCCAATCATGTTAAACTCCTTGATGTTTTTGCTTGCTATGTAAAGTGTAGTTTAAGATTGTTCTACCAATGAGTAAAATATTCCAAAAGAAGTTGGACAATGCTATCATGAAAGATGAATAAATAAAACTAAGTATGTTAGCAAATCCTCAGGAAAAACAAACAAACAAACAAAAACTGCTATCTTTCCAGCTCAGCAGTCATTATACATGTAACCATGTGCACACCCCACTCCTTGCCCCCCCACCCCAGCCTGTTGATCTTAGCTTCCATTGCTTTTCAGGCACTGAATGCATAAACATATTTTGTTAATGTCTCTATCTGCAAAGACATGTCAGGGAAAGATTAATTTGTCTGGAAGAGAAAACAGAAATCCCAGTCCTCCTTCTATTTCAAGAATTATCATCAAGATTGCCACTATGTTGAAAGCAATCAGTTTACAGTAAACGCTAGTAATAGAATCTAAACTTTCAAGAAAAAAAAAAAATTCTAAGCCAAGAGTATTCATTTAAACATTTCATGACAAAGCCTTTAACAATTATTTTTCCACCTCATTCAGAAGGGATTAAATACTTGGAACGGATATCTATAAATCAAAGTTGTTCAGTATGTGCCTTCAAAACAATTTCAAACAGCAGGCACATGAAAAACAAAAAAGTATTTTTTATTCATTACAATTTAGTCCCTCATCCCTGTCCAGAAGTAACATTCAGAAATATTTCAGAGACCAAAATTGACCACAACCATTTAGCTTACATTTGTGACAGTGAGCTTGAGTTCAATCTACAGGGCATTTTACAACCAATATACAAACTTCTGCAGTAACACAAGAAGTTTAACACATACCTGTGTGGACTCTTCTCCGTTCACCTTCTCTAAAGCCTCAGACTATAAAGAAAAGTGAACCACTGTTGCAAGCTTGGGAAAAAGCTCTAGTTTCAAGAACGCAGCCTGACTTGCTGCTCCAAGGAATCAACACGCGACAGGTGACTGCTATCAGCAGACTCAGATAGCCAGTGCATCAAACACTCTTCTAAATAGTAATAATTTAAAAAAAAAATATTTGGAGATCTATAGGAAAAACATCAGAAGCGCTATTATCCTCAAACCAATTTGTCATATTTCATCAATATGCCATAAGGCAGTAAAATTATGCTGTGAAAGAAGTATTAATTTTACATATGTCTTGTAAAGCATATCTTAAATATAATTCGTTGTTAAGACACTGCTATTAGTGCTACAAAGAAATAAAAATAACAAAGAAAAATTACTCAGGGGAGTCATAAAATAAAGTTGACTGATCTGTTAGGTAAACTGGTACGAAATGGTACCACCACCCAAGGAAGCAGTCCTGCCGTGCCCCATGCCATACCTTCCCTTGTGCAGTACACACCTATTTAAGACACTGAATTGCATGAGAAAATGATTCAGAAGGAAGTAAATCCTGGTTCCAAAGAAACTTGTGCCATTACAAGAAAGGAACAGAGAGGCCAAAGAAAAACTTATTTAAAGCATCTGAGCTCTAGCCTCACCAAACACCAAAATACTGTGGACAACAAACCACACATTAAAAGAGTAAGAAGTCTGCTATTAGATAGAAATACAACCCTGCCTACCTCACACTAACTTCATTATGGTGACATTTACTGCAGCTATGTGAAACATGACTCTGCTGAATTATTTCTTTAGAAGTCATTCTAACCCAGCCCTCCTTTACTATAAACATTACAACACTAGATACTATATTAGTACATTGATATATACACCTTGAGTTTCGAGACAGAAGGCTGTAGATCAAGGTTTCACCCCTCCGCAATAAAGACTGGCACACCAATAACACACACTATCATGTTATCACAACATCTGGAAAGGGTTAATAATCAGATCTGACAATTTTTAAACACAAAGTAGGTCCTTAAATGAAACCTTAAAACTTTAAAATTGTGAATTGACGCTCACATCCGTGTGAAGACCTTGTGATTGCTGTCCAAATGCTTACTTCTAGTATATAGAGTCGCAGCTGAATGATCAGCACCTAATATAAGCACAAAATAGGAACAGCACCAGCATTTTTTAAACTTTGAATTTAACTGTCTAGAATACGGTGCCCTCTTGATTATGTGTCTCTGCTTTTATTTGCAGATATTTCTGTAGGCTTCTTAGTACTAATCATATTCATGTTATAATACCAGTGTCTTCCTCATGCTGTAATTATTGAAAGACATAAATAACTAAATAAGATTATCATCTTTTAAACATTTTTATGATACAATGGGTATCATTTGGAATTCAAATTCTTTTTAAAAACTGATTCCTAATTAACATTTTCATGATAGAAAAACGTCACAAAAAAATGGAGGAATTGGAGCAGTATTCAGAGTATCCCAAAGACGTTTTATTTCAGTAGCAAGCAGGTTTCTAAATTTTCCCTTAGAGACATGAGCTACTTATTATACACATTCACAGCCCAGGAAAATCTAAAAGACTACAACCAACTTGAGAGCAATTCCTAAGTAACAAGAAAGTGTTTGTGGTATCTTGCCTCCTGGAAGCGAGCAGGTAGAACCCTCTCATTCAGCTCTTCCCCTCAGAGAGGGCAAAGCACCACCGCACAACAGCTGCCAGACACCCTCCAAGAAGGAGTGTGTCAGATATGTCATCTAACCTTATGGAGTCAGAACTCCTACAGCTGAAAAAGAACCTTTCTACCTACTGTGGTTGTCTCAAAACTCTCTGCTTCTTTCAAGAAGTCAGTACAAATAGGCAAAGATTTGGCACTTTTTTGGTGAAAAAGTCTAAAATCAAAGCTGCCTCGAGTATATTTCATACCTCTACAAATAGGCAAAGATTTGGCACTTTTTTTGTGAAAAAGTCTAAAATCAAAGCTGCCACACCTTTCGAGTATGAAATTAACTACGATTCTACATATCTGTAAGACTAAGCTAACAAACACCTTAATGACTAAGGATGATGATGATTTCCTACAAACAGCAGAGGGCAGATGTGAAATCTTGAGATTCTGTTCAGTCATTGGGAAAAATGAACAGTTGGCAGAAGCTTCCAACTGTGGAGTTCCAGAAATCTCTCTGCGTATCAAAGCTGCTTACAAGAGACTTCTGGAGGGTTAGTGGTCTTCAGGTCCAAGGGTTCTGTTTACCTATTTTTGTTATCCAAGATGCTTCCCAGAATAGATATAAAAATATATAATCAATTGTATTCTGGTAGTATGAAATCTCACAAAAATTAAGCCAGAAGAAAGGGGTGATGATACCAAGGCAGCTTTAGGACCTCCTACTACGTATCTGTTTCTTAGTCACTATCTTTCAGAAGGCAAACCCAGTGAAGGCAGAGCATATTAAGCACAAATTTTTGTGATGCCTAGAACACTGACATTTAGCACAGAGGCATCACAAGCTACTGGATGAAGGAAAATACCAGACTGCTTGTTTCCACATCTGTAGGATCATGTTCTCCATCAACACATTCCCAATTTTCATTTTTTCTAGAAAGTATTTCCACAGAGGTTGTGTGCTCTTGGCTTAAAGGTACACGGGTGCTATCAGAAGAGAAACAGCAACCAACCCTTACCACATGGGTGGATGCCAGAAACATATATTGAAACTGCCAACCTGGAAGGCACATATTTGATACTAGAAATCATATCTGTGATCTTTCAGATTCGTCCTGATGAAAGCCTATGCTCAGTATTAGATCTAGCAAAATCTGGCTAACATGGATGTGGATACCAGTAACAAGGCAGTGGCTAGTAGCTGCTGTT